ACAGACAATGCAGACGCTCTGTGTTCAGGTGGGGCCATGTCTGCAGCTAGAGGCATCAAGATCTGGGGAGTGACAGTTGCAACGCCGGTCAAGAAGGTCAAGGTCTCGAAAACCTGCAAATTCTTGGTCACGGCTAAACCTATCGTAAGGGTAGTAGATGTCATGACCAACAGTAACACCAGTTGCCTGCAACGAACAAGGTCGCCGAGAGGGGATATCAAAAGTAATCCCACTAAATACCTGGACCACGATAATGAGCTGTGATCGTTCCATCGGAAACCGGTAAGTTTATTTACCCTGCTTGAACGAGGGTGGGGATACTTGATAACCGAATCACAATTATTATCAGCCCAGATTCGTTGGAACGGATGAAGTAACACACCGTGAAACCTCTTCATATGCTATATCGAATGATTTCGAAAACTCGACTATATACGAATTTCAGATCAGAGATACACACAGCCGATAACTCCGTAACAACATACTCAACAGCGGTTGACAATAATACAAGTTAGCGGCAGCTGTCTTGCCATTAGCATCTATTCACCATCTACCGAGAAATCCGTACTGAATGTGCTAGCAAATCCGAAGGAAGCGTTGAGCAAGATGCCAAAATGAAAAGGTTTGAAGGGATTGTATTGGAGTCTTTTCGGGATCGGTATAAGACCAAAATCTTTTTTGGGCCAACTCTCTTCAGCGGACGCCGCGAATTTTTCGGTAATTGGTTCAGGAGACTCGCAGTGTGCCCCTGTTTTCTCAGTGCTGGAGGGAGACATTAAAGACTAGGGTGAGTCTGAGCGACGGTTAGGAATAGTACTGAGCTAGGCCACGACAGGGACTGTGATAAGTATCAAGATACGCAAGACGACGAGAAGCGCTTGGAATGATACCGGTGGCTAAGTCATATGGTGTGCACGGAAGGTGCAAAAGTGAGTTCAGGAAACATAAAAACAACTATAAAAAAAAGCTACACACTTGAGTGTAGTGCACAAAACCCGAACGGCCGAGAAATCGACGAGGAAAAGCACACAGCTGCCCGCCCTTTCATACACATGACGTTCTTATAAAGGCTTATAAACCGGCCGTAATGTTCTGTCAAACAGATATGTCCAACATCGTGACAGTCCAAGTCAGCAACTCACCATAAGTACGTAAATGGGACGGAAGTCCGTCCTTGGCATTGGTAAGTACGCCAGCCGCCAGGGCCAAGCGCTTACTCTCACGGATTTAACCAGCTGCGGAATGGTGATAGCTTTGCACGGTGTGTCGTGCAGTAACGCCCTGAACGACTTGAATCGTCGACATTGAGTGCGAACCAAGACTATTATGTAAATATTACAGAAACCCACCCAATTGTAAACCGCAGTGCCAAGTCGGACTGTGCACTATTACGCTTTACCAAGTACCGAAGACGGTTCAAATGCTAGGAAATACCATTCTCTCATGCGCTTCAACTTTCAAGAATCGGTACTTATATTTAGTGTGGCTTCAAATTTGGAGACTGTTAGATTACTTATGCGTCGACTGTCAAGAGCACTGAGCAGGAATGTGAGTTGACATTCAACTCTTTTACCGCATGCTGCAGATCCCAGTAATGGCTCCACAATTTCCTGCTTGAAGCTGGTCCTTAGCTGGAATTATGATCGTGACCTGTTAGTCCTTGTGAAGTACAGTTTGTAAGTCTTTTAAAAATACGACTGCGGTCGACGTGGCTCGTTATCAGCCATATGCATGGGCGTAGGTGCGACAGAAAACCTCCGCGACTGGATATGCACATGCATTATCATGGGAGCGATCTACCGTGCACTGCGTGAACGATTTCGCAAGCACGTGGACAGCAGCTTTGAGCGAGGGATCGTTCTGTGACTCCAACAACTCACCAACGGCAGCATATAAAATTCTGGTAAGCTTCCGGTGATATTGTAGAAATTTAACATCGATCTAGAACGGCACGAATTCTGTTAGTTGCGTTAGAGGAGCTGCATATACGCCAAGAATCAAAGATTTACAAGACTCCGGGAGTGGATAGTCATAGTACTCAATAATGAGCAAATTTCCATGGAACAACAGTACGAAGTTAGTAAACTGGCGATAATGCATGATCAGATCGGATCATCAGGTATTGTATGTTATAGCCTCTAAGCTAGCAGTATATAATATGTTCAGTACTAGTGTCAAGTTTCGGCTCGAGAACTTGAAATTTTCAGACTAGCAGACTCCTCAGCACCCCCTTTGGCATCCCCCTTCTCGTTGCACACTACAGCCAGGTGACCGCATCCTGCGTTCTCAGGGTCGTCACTCTCAACTAGTTGGGACTGCTTAGACGGCAAGATCTTCCAGAATTTCAGCCCGCCTTCATAACCAAACCAGCGATTCCCAGGACAATGGGGACCTCTAAGGATAAGCACAGCAAGCTGGAAGACATAGATAGCCATGAACAGCGCAGAATCTGCACGCCAGCCGTATCCAACAAAAACGTCAGTCCCAACAGACGTCCCTGTAATTTGACCCAGAAAAACCTGCGACAGCCCGTTGGATCAGCCGACTGATCCATAACAGAAAATGTAAATTGACGCACTGATATGATTGTCAATGCATTCAAACGCGAGCGCGCAGTCTCCGAAATGCTGGTTTGTTATCAATCAGTATTGCAGAACTGCAAAACACATGATATTGTACTAGTACCTGAACATTAATGTAGAGAGTGATATGGATTGAGTTTGGCGGAACATGTCTAATCCAAAGCAAGAGATGACGACCGCAGCGATGTTTATACCACCCGCCCCAGTTTGTACTGCTTGGAACACCAAAAGAAACATAGTCGAAATAATAGCGGACCACCATGGCACAAGCCGATCGAGCAGACGGCCAAAGAATGGTATGATAATTACACCCAACATTCCAACAAGGCCAAACAAGCCGATGATCACCCTAACGCAATTTTGTCAGCAAATGAGTAGGCAACAAGACAGTGTCACGGACGTGGAGTAGTTATATGGCGGCCCGCCAAGTAGAAATGTGAGTGTCACCCACCAATTGGTGTAGCATGCGCTGGCAGCCCAGTTTGTTAACATGATCTGGCTGACGAGAGGTTCGGTGACAATATATTTCGCCATGGAACGAAATATCCCGAAGTAAGATAAATCATGGTTCTTGACTGGATAGTCCGGAAGCAACATGTATGCACCACCCAGCACAATGCTCTGGATGCCGATAGACATACAGTACACAATTCGCCAACTCGTGAAATTGGCCACTACGCCAGACAATACACGTGCGATGAGGATGCCAAGCAGAAAACCTGACTGAACAACTGATATAGCTGATCCACGACGGGCGGGAGGAGCGAGATCAGCGGCCAGTGGCATGAGAATTTGAGGAGTGACAGACGTCAACCCAATCAGAAATGAGATTATCTCGAACACCAAAAGGTTGTTTGTGATGGCGAGTCCTATTGTTAAGGTAGTTGAAAACAGGACCAAGAGCAATATCAACTGGCGCCGGCGAAGCATGTCACCGAGTGGTGTTATGAATAGGAGGCCGATGCCAAACCTTACCCATCGTTAACAGTAGCCATGTGTAAGGATTGTAGAACCTTACCCAGCTTGAACTAGCGTTGGTATTCTGTGTGAATGTTAGATTCACTGATCTCAGTTAGACTTTTGGTTATTCACACCTTGCCACCTCGTCATACGTGACATGGAAAGAAGCCGACAATTGAACTTTGAGATATACAGGTCAAGACAACAAATAGAAATTGCGAAGCTAACGTACTTAGAATTGGCTGACAATAATATAGGTTGGCAACAACTGCATCAAAGTTAAACATGTATCTATGAACGTCTTGATGTCATGGCTTACCTAAAGTACTGCCTATGCCAAAAGATACATTGAGCAACATTCCGAAGTGGAAAGGCTTATCAGGGTCATAACGGAGTCGTCTCGGAATAGGAAGGCATCGGAAGTCTTTCGAGAATGTCGGATCCGTCTGCGCTGGGACAAGCGACGACGGAGTAGGCGGGACTGCTGCTGAACCGACAATTGTTTCAGCCGGAGAGGTCATGGCTCATGCAGCAGAAGAAACGTACCAGTATTTGGCCCGACCACTAATATATATAAACTCGCCTGTTCGAAAAAGACCACAGTACTAGTGTAGGTATTTGAGTAACAAAGTCGTGATGTCGATGACCAGACTCAGAGCGGAAGTCCGAATGCCAGAAACGCCATTCATTCGTGGTGATGTTAGAGCTCGTGCTATTATCAGGCACGGCATGGGACCACCGAGATCTCATGCATCATGCATCATGGGAGACAAGCTGACTGGATATACGAAAACGTCCTTGACAAATGAATGCCTCTTGATTGCTTCTTGAGAAGGACGAGGCCAAACTAGTGTACGGCGAGTTCCGAATATTCCGACATTCACATGCAGTGTAAATTCACAATGCGTCCAGAGGCTTTCAGATTTACCTGTCAATCACCAAATGCTAATTTGCCGTGGATTTGGGTGGATTTGGGTGAATCAGGGTGAATTACTCCTACTGGTTCCAATGATTAAGAAGGATCACTGGGTAGAGACCGGGACGAACTGTTGATTGCAGTCTTCTTGATGGGTTCAGATGGTAAAGAATAGAAAGCAACAATATACCGATATCGAGTATAAGTGACAACTGGAACGAAGATGCATCGCAGGGGCTCTCGCTCACGGAGGGGTTTGTTGTGGGTTCTCTCTTGCTGCCCCGTTGGCGCCGACGTTGCCGATGTACTGAGTTATCGCGCTCCATGAGTGAACTTGGATTTTCCTTTGCGGCAGTTTTTCGGCGAGATGGTCAGCTGCTCGTATTTCACTCTCCGCGACAGGATAGCATTGTCCAATGTCCACTATTCATAGCCGATGAATAAGCGAGCGCAGTCTCGAGGACACCTGTTCCCGTTTCGGTGTCCACACAGAAGTCAGCTTTCATCGATGTCGTAGTGGATAAATCATCATATGATGTCCTTCGATATGATATCTATGCCAAATTTCAGACTCCCATCGAACAGCGCATTCTTGGCTCAGCTAATTACGCAGGAAGCGTTATTCATGCCCTGCGTTGACATCTGATCAGCGAATACGCAACAAACGGCTACTTTGCTTACTTCCCGAAGTTAATGGCTCCAACTGGGTAAAGCGCTTTTGAGCCGCAGGCTCAGGGATCTCTGGATAAATCGCTTTGAATCACATCTCGCAGACGAGAACTTTCACGGACGCACCTTTGAAATGAAAGTACTAGAAAGCCTCCGAGTCATGAGTCCATTCAGAGCACCACATGACTGGCTGAGATTGCTGGCCTCAAACTGCACACCAAAAATACATTCCATACCATGAGCAGCCGTGCAGAACACCCCTAGGATCCGCACAAATGGGCGCTGAAGTCTTCGGATCAAAAAATGACACAAGGGAAAATAGCACGTTGTTTTCCCAAGGTATACAACGAAATGTTGATAAGTCTATCGAAGCCATTAGGTCGCAGTAACCGTTCTCTTTATTTGATATGGTCAGTTCCTGGGTGCAGACTGGATCGTGGATATCCCAGCCACTGCAACGTAACTAGAATCATGACAGCGAATCGGGGTGGCGACGAGACGTACAAAATCAAGCTACAAAATCCAAACCCTACTGAGACAACGGCGCCTAGAAGCTTATCTTTGGACTGCGAGTAACAAATCAAACATTGAAGAGGACGGATTCAGCAAGAAGCATACCATGGACTTTGCTCTAAGGACGCCATCCACTTGAGATAGAAATCAGCATTCGACTCATTCAAGGGTCAGAAGGCAGGGGTGCAACATCTATGCCCGTAGGGTAACAAATAGGTACTGTCATGAAAAAAATCAAGCTGTCACATTTTGCAATCAGAACTGGCTTGCAACTTTAACCTTGACATTACCCCAAAGTAGTTGCTTCAGGTTATCGATTATCTTAGAGCTCCTAAAGTGGCACTCGTGCTCGCCATATCTGACATCGTTCCAAGATTCTATTGTTCTAAGTAAAGTTGAGTTTGTGACGAGCGGCAAGTTGCATGGGGGGTGCGAGAGGCAAGGAAGATTTTTTTACCTAATGCGGACGCCTTGATCTTGAACTTCGTTTAAGCTCACTCGTCATGGAGACACCATACACTTGCCGACAAACGCTGAAAACACCTGCACCGATTTCATGTCTTGCCGAAGGATCACCGGATCATTTCTTTGCAGGTTCAGGTGGGAGCTTCTGTCAAACCCCATGCTGATGGATCTTGTAGACTTCCTCTGTACATACTACAGATGACGGATCTGTTCGCGTATATAATCAAGAGACTTTGAAGGTCGTGAAGGCTATCAGAAGTTTAGGAGAAGTGTCATCCGTTGTATGCATGTCGCACAATGCAGGTGGCCTCGGGGACATATGGGTCGCGTCCAATCGTCATGTACGTCTCGACAAGTCGAGATCCTGCATGTCTGACAAATCGTGTTTTCAACTTATACAGGCTCTACGGTTTACTATGGACACGGAGAAGATGATCCTTGCGAAGGCTGACGCGACCTTGATGTTGGAACTTGGTGCCGACGACGACGACATGGTGAACGAGGTAGAGGGCGTAGCATCATTCTTCATATTTTTGACTAATCATGACCAGCTAGCTCTCGCTCAACCAAAAAAACAGTCAACTGGCATTTTGTCTGGACTCTGGCACAGTCGGTGTCGTCGATCTTTCTACGAAACAAATATCACGCCTGAAAACAAGTCACGACAATGTTTGTATCTTTTCGTGTTTCAGATACATGCCTCGCTCATAGTGATGCAGATATGTGGAACTGTGAAGTTCATTCCCGATCGTCCCAGTGAACTTGTTAGCGGTGGATACGACTCTAGGCTGTTGCATCACGATTTTCACCAAAGGACTGTATTGTCGCGATTCGATATAGGTAGATTGACTTTCGGTGGATCTGGCCCTCACTCATTTTTTAATATTTCCCATGTCAGGGACGTCTCCTCTGCCCGAGTCTTCAGGTGTTTCAATGTCTCCGCCATTCATATTGTCGTCTGCCATGTCACCATCTGGGATCTTGGCTACGGGAACCGCTGACGGACGGGTATGGATTGGCACCGGCGGGGAGAAAATGTCAGGAGTGTCATTTGGGACGTCTATGAAAAAGAAACGGCGGAAGTGGGAAGGATTGAAGCAAGATGAAGGCTTCACGGCGGATGTCGGACATGGCCCTATCACTGCTCTGTATGTGTATTACTGCTGCACTGCGACGTGCGAACTGAGACGCCAATAGGACATTCATCGGGCCTCGCACACTTTTCACGTCCACATTGATGGGAAAAGTGACCCTTCATGAAATCGGTGGCCCAACTGCGGATGGGAAGTTGGATATATTTCCAAAGTGGACGAAGGCAACAACTGATGTGAGCAAGGTTAATGCGATCGTTGCCACAGGGGACTTGGTTATCATCGGTGGGCTGAGTGAGAAGGGAGGAGGCATGATAGAGGTTTGGGAGAAGGGATTAAAGTCGGGTGATGTATGAATGCTTTGCTGAGTTAGTCAGGTAGGCTCACTGTCGACTTACTGTTGTCTGTATATTACTATGTAGGCGCCACCGCAGCGCTGTCAGACTGCGCTGTCTCCAGGCGCTAACGGGCACTTCTTGCACGTGACTGTCACATGATTACGACACGCGACGCGATGTCACAGAAATCTTTCAATCAATAGCCCTCAACCGAGAATACCCTATCAATGTCTCGCGTTCTCAACCTGTGCTTGAACCCTTTAATGCAGCAAGTCAATCAGGAAGAAAAGCAAAAAATTCTGCTACCTCACCCACAGCACGACAGCCTGTCAAGGGGATATAAGGGGCGTCGTAAATTTGTCGCGAATGACTATCTCCCTAATCCTTCGCATTTTGGAAGCTGCTGCTAAGGAATCTTCAGTGGTTTACTGTCTTTGGAGAAGACTTATCTCTACGAGCTTGATGCATCTAAGCTATCCCTGCAATCCTGCACGCTGAGAACAGTACCAGTCCATCTAGAGAAACCTTGAACATTCAATGATGTACAAAGGTGTCGATCCAGATCGTGCTTGAAATTCTCCGAAAGATTCAGCAGCGAAATTGTCTGTAACAACGATGAGCGACCGATCCAGCCATTTGTTCGTGAATGTTTAGATTTAATTCGCCTTTGAGAGTGGGCTTGAAAAAGCTCACTCCAAACAGCGAATTTCACTGACATCCGCTGTGAAGGAAGTAAATCGAATTCTAATTTAACATTGTCGTACAGGATTGTTGAATGCACATTGCACGTCAACTTGAAGCATAACTCATCGGTTGAGGGCTACCACAGCTGTGACTCTCAGTCTTGGTTCCTACAGCTCATCACCTTTTCGGTTGCAGCTCGTATAGTATCTCTTCTGAAAATAAGACTTTGAGACATGAGTGAATGCTACATAGAAAAGACACTGACCGAAAAACCACATCAAGATGTAAGAGTTATTTTTAGGGCAAACTTTCTTTGCACTTCCTCTTTGAAAGAATTTCGGGTGCGAGTTTTGTTGCCATGGAATAGCCAAGAGCCTGAGAGTTGGCTTGGAAGCTGCGCACTGCGCTTGGCTGAACAGTCATAGGAAGAGCAGGGCCTGTGAAAAGCACTGCCACACTCTAACAGCCTTCCACAGTACTTAGAACTTCTGGTAAAGTCTAGGCTACTAATCTTTTTCTTCAAGCTCTTTTATTTGGTTGCTCACATAGGAGACAACCTGTCCACACGCGATGTCAAGGTACTACGAGGTGCGTTTATTGTCATCGTCGTTGTTCAAAGCGCCTAACAAGACTGGTCTATCGTGATGATGAACAGGCTGATGAGGCACAGCGAGGACACTACAATGATGGGTACAACACTCACCCGTCTCAGATACCCAATCCTTATGAAGAGCAACCGCATGACTCGTATGACCCAAATCACTACAATCCTCAATTTGAACACCAACCCTACGATCCGAACCAGCAATATCACCTCCCGGACCCATTCATTACCCCGCAAGTTCAATCGACCCCATTCCCACCCTCCCAATCACAAGATTTGTATCAACAACAACAACCTCCGCTGCAGCCATCAACAGACTACTTCACACCGCATGTCGGCTATAGTCCCTTCGACAACTCACAATCCACTCCACGTCCGCAATCACAGTTTGGTCTGGATTATGAGATGGTAGAGCGTGAGGACAATGATTTGGGTGATATGCCACTGCTGCGACACAATGGTCCCTATGCAGCAGCATCCATGCCTGGAGGTTACCAAGAGGCCGTTGCTGATGATCGATCGGAAACTAACATTCGCTACGGGCACATACCACAGCGCGTACCCCGACGGTACAAGACCATCAAGAAGGTAGAGTGAGTGTTCCTTGTTTAATCTTGTTTTCTCTCCCTCACAATGTACAGACTCTTCCACGGTAACTTCGTGCTCGACTCCGCAGTACCATCAAAACTGCTTGATATGTGCGCGATACGCAATGAACGCGAATTCACCCACATGCGGTACTCCGCAGCTACATGTGACCCGAACGACTTTGAGAAGTCTGGGTTCACCCTCCGCCAGGTGCACTACGATCCTCCACGGAGGACAGAGCTTTTCATCGTCATGACAATGTATAATGAAGACGAGGAGCTATTCTGTCGTTCAATGCATGGTGTCATTAAGAATATTGCTCATTTGTGCACACGAGGTCGAAGCAAAACATGGGGGAAAGAGGGTTGGAAGAAAGTTGTAGTCTGTATTGTTAGTGATGGGCGGTCGAAGATAAATTCTCGAACGTTGAGTGTCATTGCTACCATGGGGGCATATCAAGACGGCATTGCGAAGGTACGTTTCAATTTTGGCAAACAGTCGTCTTATTGACGATAGAGAAGAATATCGTCAATGGAAAACCTGTCGCAGCACACATATACGAGTATACCACCCAAAGTTTGTCTCACCGTCATTTGTCTGTGCCTAATCTTAACGCCATTACAGTATCGGTCTCTCCTTCAATGAAAATCGAAGGCGCCGAGAAAGGTGTTGTCCCGTACAGATCATCTTCTGCCTCAAGGAGAAGAACCAAAAGAAGATCAACTCCCATCGCTGGTTCTTCAATGCCTTCGGTCCAGTACTGCAGCCCAATGTGTGCGTTCTCCTCGATGTTGGTACCATGCCCGGCCCCACCTCAATCTACCATCTGTGGAAAGCCTTCGACATTAATTCGAACGTTGGCGGCGCATGCGGCGAAATCGTCGCTCTGAAGGGCAAGTACGGACAATATCTTCTCAACCCACTCGTTGCAGCGCAGAATTTCGAATATAAAATGTCCAATATTTTGGATAAGCCGTTAGAAAGTGTGTTCGGGTATATCACCGTGCTGCCTGGCGCGTTTAGCGCATATAGGTATATCGCCCTGCAGAATGACCAGATGGGAGAGGGCCCACTGCAGAAGTACTTTTTGGGTGAGAAGATGCATGGTGCAGGTGCAGATATCTTCACAGCAAACATGTATCTTGCCGAGGATCGGGTGGGTGCTAAGTCGAATAAGATGATGTCTCGGCTGATACTTGTTCAGATATTATGCTGGGAGCTTGTCTCGAAGCGCGGGGGATCGTGGATTCTGCACTATGTCAAATCTGCTTACGCTGTGACTGATGTTCCCGACCAGGTCAATCCAAGTGTTCAAGTCCTGGTGTAGTACACGCTGACCCTTTCCAACAGGTCCCTGAGCTAATTTCTCAAAGACGTCGCTGGCTTAACGGCTCGTTCTTTGCCGCCATACACTCTACCGTTCATTTCCACTACCTGTATCGCTCCTCGCATTCATTCATGCGCAAGTTCTGGATTCATATCGAGATGATTTATCAGCTATACAACCTCATATTTGCCTGGTTTTCCCTTGTAAGCTCCCTTTTGTACCATTCTTTACACCACTATCATGACCCTCAGTGCGTATTAGGGCAACTACTACATTGCCTTCATTATTCTCTCACAAGCGCTCGAGTCCTACGTTCCTCAAATCCACGTCCTTAACATCATTCTCAACTACTTCTATCTCGGGTTGCTCATCATGTGCTTCCTCCTCTCGCTCGGGAATCGGCCGCAAGGCGCAAAATGGGGTTACACCCTCGCCTTCGTTGGGTTTGGTGTAGTCACAATTTATATGACTGTCTCGGCGTTGTTGCTTGCATACAAGGCCATCGAGAGCGTAGCGAAGAGTGAAGGACGGGCGATCCAGGCTAGCGATCTATTCTCGAATTCGACCTTTAGAGATGTCGTGTTCTCGTTGGCGGCTACGCTGGGGCTATATATTGTCTCCTCATTGATCTTCGTGAGTTATCATTTGCTTTTTATCTTGCTTGTTATGTATTGATGCTCGTCGAAGTTTGAGCCATGGCATATGATTACATCCTTCATCCAATATCTCCTCATGGCGCCGTCGTATATTGCGGTCTTGAACGTCTATGCGGTACGTCCCTCTTCTGCAGTACGGCTCCCAGTTGTTCACAAAGCCTCAGTTTGCCAACGTCCATGATGTCTCATGGGGAACGAAGGGCGACAACAAGGTTTCCACTGATCTCGGTGTCGTCAGTGCGGGCAAGGGGGACAACAAGAATGAAGTCGAGGTAGCAGTACCCACGGCTGAGACTGATATCAATGCGGCGTATGAAGATGCTATCCATGTTCTGTCGTCGAAACCACCCAAGGCGGATTCAAAGCCTGATCCGACAACGCAGCAAGAAGATTATTACAAGACGTTCCGGACGAACGTATTGCTGGTTTGGACTCTGAGCAACGTGAGTGACCATTAGATAGGTTTATATTAGAGGAACTTTGATTGACCTCGTGGGTTTGCAGGCTCTTTTGGCTGCTTCTATAATGTGAGTATTTTGGAGGTCGCAGATGCCATTGCCACTCGCTAACACTTTCTAAATGGCAGAACGGCGACGAGTGGGACTGGAAGTGCGGCTGTGACTGGGTACATGGCATTCATTCTCTTTTCAGTTGCTGGACTTGCATGTAAGTAGAAGCTTCTAACGCCACATCATCGCTAGTACTGATGACTTGTGTTCTGTAGTCGTTCGTTTCCTCGGCTCGACGACGTACATGCTCGTGCGCTTGTTTGCAGGAGAGTGATTATTTCTTGAAGCCCAGTATGATATGATATGGACTTGTATGAAGACAATTATATCTCTCGTTGACATAACAATATTGACATTCAGTGTTGTATTTCGTATTTTTGCCATGTCTTGTCCTAGTAAGTACCAACATGATTGAAAACCAGATCTGGCTTCCAAATTCAGCAGAGCCTGTCCGATTCAAGTGTAACAGTGTCGCTTTCCATCTTTCCATTAACCATGGAAAAATCATACCAAGTACTTTTCAAAGTTCTTGTCAAGTATGTTCGCCATCAAATCACTTATATCGAGCTCGCCTTGGCATAGTATATTCTATTTCCAGTCATGCACCCGGGCCACCGTCCCACAACTCCTTTGGTACTACGACAACTCAAGAAATAGTAATGTGGACAACCAAGTCGTTTCCCCCCTGCGTGACGAACTTGACATCCACCCTAGTTCCCTTTGCGCTCGTCTTCCGGACCTCAGCTAGTTGAGTCCAATTTGACTTCCTAGGGCTAGCCTGTGTAGTACTCGGTGTGAATCTTCAAGCCCGTGTCTCCAGGCGCGAGGTCAGTGACGGCATCGCACCATACATTATAGTTGTGGATGCCCAGCGTTACAAGGAACTCCTCCCCGGCGCCATTTCTGAAGCGGAGCGCACCAGACGTGCCGCTGCCGCCCATGACGAGCGTCTCTATAGAGCCTGTGTTAGACCACGTTCCGCCATTGGCGTAATACCACACAGTTTTCTCGACGACCGTGAAACCAGGGTCGCTGGCAGTGGTGTCGATGGTTCTGACTGCGATGGTGTAGGTCATTGTTTCTGTATGAAGGTAATGTCAGACAACGTCGACTGGCAGATTCGTGCTAAGCTTTTCACTAACCTGATTGCAAGGATAAGTAGACTGGAGAAAACGGTGTACATAGCTGGCCCTTTATACGATGCACAGCGCTGTTCGGCGTCTCCCTAGAACAGTTACATAAAGTAAGTCCCTCCGGATGTTGGTCTAACCGAAGTTTGATGCTAAACGTTGTAGTCTCATAATTGTAGCCCGAGTGCCGGTTAACTAACGTCCTGTGACTTTCATTGACATGTGGTATTACTTGGGAACACGATTGATTGTCGGAAGTTGAAAGTTCGTTGGTTAGTTTGACTTCTTGCTAATTTATAACTCTACAGGGGTAAGATTATAGTTTCAGGACTTCAAGCTGTGAAGCCCTGCCGTCGGCAAAGTTGTACGCATCTGTCTCCAATACGGGAGAGACAAACCATCGTAACGATATCAGTGGAATGACTATACGACTATATACCAGTGCGCTTTCATCATGGTCTGTCGACTATGGGGAAAACCTCGCTATCCATATCAGACAGGTGAGTGCCAACCTTAGGGGCCGCAGCACCCTGCCACTATCTAACCGTACCGGAGACTCCAAATATCTAGAATAACAAGCACACACAGTACACACAACAACACCACGTCCCAACACGTCCCTCTAGGTTCACAGCGCTTTCAGACGGACGAATATCATTGATACGGACCTACAGGGCGGAAACTTAGTTCGACAATTGACTGTGACAGCATCCGTCTCCTCAGTCCGACGATGCACATGCTCGTGCGCTTGCTTGGAGGAGAGTATATTTGATACAATATGAATATGGACTTGCATTGTATGAAGATTGCAATTATATGTCTCGTTGATATTAAATAAAATATTGTCGTGTTTTGTATTTTTGCTATGTCTCATGTCCTATTAATTAGGAATACTAGACCCGAAATCGGTTAGAGTATCTCTTCGTTGACCATCAAGAATTCATACTGAGTACTTGTCAATTGCAGAGTCCTCGTCAAGTATGTTTGCCACCACATCACTCTTACCGCCTTGGCATAGTAAATTCGATTTCCAATCGTATGGCACCTGGGCCACCGTCTCACGACTCCTTTGGTACGACAACTTAAGAAATAGTAATGTGGACGACCAAGTTGTTTCTCCTCTGCATGACGAATTTAACATCCGCCATAGTTTCCTTTGCACTCGTCTTCCGGATCTGAGCTGGTTGGATCCAATTCGACTTCCTAGGGCTAGTACTCGATGTGGATCTTCAAGCCCGTGTCTCCATGCGCGCGATCGGTGACGGCGTTGCACTGCACATTGTAGTTGTGGATGCCTGTCGTCACGAGGAACTCCTCCCCAGTGAAGCGGAGCGCACCAGACGTGCCGCTGCCGCCCATGACGAGCATTCCGATAGAGTCTGTGTTAGACCACGTCCCGCTAGTACCACGCAGTTTTCTCGACGACCGTGAAACCAGGGTCACCGCAAATCGACGGTTCTGACTGGGACGGTGTAAGCCATTGTTTCTCCACGAGGGTAATGTCAAACAGAGAAATGGGCGATATCGCGGTTCTATGCTGATGGGTCTGGAGGCTGTGGATACGGCGTAGGATGGTCGTACCCTTGAGTATACCGTGGCTCTTCACTGCGGGTTGGCGGTGTTTGAGTGGGTGTGACTTACCGAATCAGGAACCTTGATAACCGGTTCTCCGCGTTGCCTTTCTCTAAGAGCATGATCTGAATGTTATACTGATCTCAAAATGCTATGCTGACACTGACAATTATACAGAGCGATGATGACTTCAGTGGCTACTCACTGAGTTCATGTCTCATACTACTAGTAGCGAGCCGCCAGTGGACAAGTTCCTTCAATTACCAACTGTGAAGACTGATAGTAAGGACCCATTTGTATGGTGGCAAAATAACTGCCGTACTTGTTCGATGTTTCATCGGATGGCACTAGACTATCTCTCTGTCCCAGGTATGTCACCCTCGAATCCTCTTTCGATCAATTGGTACTTATTATCTCACTTAGCGACATCAATGCGGTTGAACGTGTATTCTCGCAGGTCCGACAGCTCCTTCACTTTACTCGTGACAGACTCGGACCATCAAAATTTCGTGCCTTCCTCTGCGAAGTGATCTTCTGGCAATGGAGGACCTTCTAGCCTCTGTAAGGAGTCAACAATGGAAGCGAAATGAAGTCGAAGCTGAGGACGGCAAGGAAAAGGAGTAATATTTATGTGAATCATTATTGTTAATACACTCTTCTTGCAGTAATGTACCCGCGGTCTTCAGAGACACCGCGGTGTTTTTCATAAACCGCAACGTTGACCGGCTGGTGTGTGCTTATACTCGTGGAGGGTGCGGAGTTGGTGGGTGCGGGTACGGTGTCAACTTTCCGACTTTGGTGTTACTCATGTGGTACCCTATGCCACGATGGGACAGTACCTAGGTCAACTTGGGGAGCCTTTCCGCAGGAGATAGACGGGTGACCTATCTCGTAGTATGAGGCACGCTTCTCTTCCCGTTCCCCCTGAGATATGGATGACTTCGCGTAGGCAAATATAATATAATGTCACGCTTTAGGAAGGTGTGCCGCGATGCCAGGTCAGTCATTTCGTTACCGTTTGAAATTTAACAAGCGTTCTGCCCCCCATTAAACTTTGAATCTATAAGGGGTACCAATAAACTCACACTTTTGCCTTTTGTCAAAGGACCGCTCACAATATCCGCTGACTTGCCGCTGATATAATCTTACCGTGCGGTATAGTCGATCAGTGTTCTTGTCGAGTCAGCTCAGTTCCCACCAGTATAACAGCTGCAACAATGAGTGCAGAATCTTCTTTGTCAATTACTTCTATCTCTATCTCATCTTGTAGTACTTGATACTGATATATGATATTCCTACAGTTTGGTTTTTCGTATAGGGTAATATCTTGTTGGGTAATTTGGAATTGTTTTGCAAACTCTGGTATATGATTATTTTGCATACAGGCGCCTATCTAATATGGATAGCGAGGTTGATCAGACAAATGGGACAAGCTGTATGCTCGTTCCCCATAGTTGACAGGCTTCTGACGGTAATGAGAATTGGTACGTAGTCACGAAGTCATTTCACTGGTATCGTTACGATGGTTTATCTCCGTACTTGGGGACAAATACGTACAGTTGACCTCGCCGACGGCAAGCTCTGAAACTATAATCTTACCCCTGTAGAGTTACATGAGTGGGGGAACACCCAGCCACTATTAATAGCTGTACCGCGAGAATCAAATGTCTAGGATAACAAGTACATACAGTACACAGAAGTCACAACACGTCCCTCTAAGTTCTCAGCGCTTCCAGAGGGACGAATGCCACTGGTGGGACCAACACTAAGGCCGAAACTCAATTTGACTGACAGCATCGGAGGACTCCATATATAGAATGTTAGCATACATACAGCAAGTGAACGCTATGTAATATCACTGTTACATGCACACTACTTTCCTACATGATCTAATGCACGTGTCAGCAGCAAACCTTCTTATTGAATAACTTACTCACATAATTACGGATGTCTTTCGGGAAGCTTGAGAACGTTGACCGTGCCACCATCTCGTTTGATGTGGCAGCAGACGAGTCGTGGTTGTTGATCATGGAGTTACCGAGGGAAAAGTCCCCTAGGCTGACATCCGGTATGCATTGTTTATACAGCTGGTTTTGCATGCTGTCTTCGTGCGACTGAGGGCTGTCTTGACCCAGGAGGTTTGGAGGCATGCTAGGGCGATTGCGCGGACAGTTGGGCTCGGGTAATTTGGGATGAAGACAATTAACATTCGCGATAAGAGGCGTATTGACATGATATGGAATGTTTGGTGTCATGGAAGACAGGGGTATGAATACAGGGACTGAGTACCGGAAGTGGTATCTAGCAGAGAACATAAGAACAGAGCGGGGACGACCTGAGGACCTTCCGAGGGGTGCTTGATCTCGGCGGTATACATCTTGGATGATTGTGTACATAGTGGGGTCTTTGGGGGCCAATTATACGTCTATAGCACGTCGAGGTCAGGAAGTACGAACCTGGGGATTTGCACAAGACTTCCCAGAACTTGGGAACCAAGGTTGTGCTGTAGAGCAATAGACCGCCACTGGACGGGATTATAGAATTGGGGAAATGTGGTCCAATACATTCAAGTTTCGTGTCCTCGCTGTGTATTGGCGCACCATCCAATACAACTATAGTAGGACGACTTGCAAATGACGACAGAGGGCGAAACAAAGGTTACTGTGGGGTCAATGTCCATTATGCGACACGGCGTGTTCAAGGAGGGGTGAAATGCAGTGATAACTTGAGGGGACTTTGATAGAGAAGATGGCGGTACACGTGAACGTGAGGATGAGCTCGAGCTGCTCGACCATGAAATGGACTGTGGTAAAATGTCGATGTATACTGGAGTACGTGTATCAGGAGGCTGATTGTGTTTAGATGATGGCATGGCTTGGTTATACTTCTCGTGAAGAGGATTTATGGACGAGCCGGTAGATGGATTGTCGAGTTGTACTACAAAGAGGCACAGACTCAATGTGTATCCCCACCTTTAAGAAACACGGTGATGAGGAGAAAACCTCCACGACCTGGCTTCGCTCTGCAAAAGATAGCATACGCGTGATAGATTCGATTACTTCCTAAGTAATATTAATGACGCTGCATCAATAAACGCGCGTACGGCAGCCGAGTCGGAGGAGATAACACTGTACGCACATTTAGCTGTGTCCCTGAGTTGTTGTAGACAACTAAGTCTTTTCTTTGATGATCTGGGCTTGGCTGCCTGGCGGAAAATGCACTCATACTAAGATAAGGCCATCTCGGCGCGACTCGGTCCTGTACCTATACCGTCTAACATGTTGCAATCTATTGCAAATGGCTGAAAGAATGCTTGTGTGTTATCCAATTCAGCGAAGTTAAGAATACGCAAACCTCATGGCTTCAATTGAACAAGGTTACCGTGGTGTTCTTTAAGTACTAGGCTGGTCGATTATTGTCTTCTGGAAGTCTGAATCAAACCGTTGTAACTTGTACTAGGGCGTCTGTAGTGAGTTCTGTACTAGTAGGTAATACCAAAGAACAGCACACACGGTACTTGCCATGTGCAGAAATGAAACAAGCTCCGAGTCGAACTCCCGCTAGAGTCGCTGCGCCCAACGTATTGCATATGTGATTTATTCAATGGCAACCACATAACTCGTCAAAATCGCTCGGGGCTCGCCGGATTACAAGTTTAAAGTCAGCGCCCGAAAGACTACACAATTGCTGCCGCGGCAGACTACGTTCACCCTTAAAATGTATCACATGGTACCATAAGGCCGGAAACCGTTTTCCGACATTAAATATCCCCTGCAACTCAGCGCATGCAACCCACGATCCCCGCACCAAGGCCATATCTTGTAAAATGGTGCAGCTTATTCCAAGCACCACAGCCGTTCGAGTGTTTGAAGATCATACAGACAATATAAACGCAGTGGTAGCTTTACCAGATGGGCGGCGTATGATCACTGCATCAAAAGACAAGGCGCTCTGTCTGTGGGATTTGAAGTCAGGTATGGTGTTGAAGAAAATGGAGGGGCATCGCGGCGTGCTGAATGCGTTGGCGGTATCACGAGATGGGAAATTAATAGCAAGCGGTGATGCGAGAGGGGAGCTCATCGCCTGCCATGGAGAAACTGGAAAAACCCTCACCCAGCCCATCAAAGTCCACTCCGCAATCATCTTACCGCTAGACTTTTCTCCAGATGGCGCGATTCTGGCTACTGGTTTAGATGACGGAACGACAAAGTTTGTGAGCACGAAGACATGGCAGGTACAAGGAAATCCAATCAAGTCTAATTGTCTAGTCCGCTGCGTTCGGTATTCGCCGTCTGGCGTACTTATTGGGATTGCGACAAGGGAGAAAATCGAAATATATAAACCAGGCAAGAGGGAATGTATCGCAAAGTTCAAGGGTCACCGTAAAACGAACTTCTCGCTTGTGTGGACGCCCGACGGAACACGCCTTCTCACAGGTGGCGATCATCAAGATCCCACCATACGAGAGTGGGATATATCGACCTGGAAGCAAGTCGGCGAACCTTGGATAGGTCACGCTACCGTAATCAAGGCTATCGCCATTAATTCTGCTGGCACGCTCGTTGCGTCTGCATCTTACGACAAACATATTCATCTCTGGCGCCTCTCGGATCAGCGAATTATCGCCAGCTTCCAGCACTGTGCTTTGGTGGTTTCCGTAACCTTCTCCGTGGATGGCAGTCGCATCCTCAGCGGAGGTGTCGATAAGAAGATCTCAGAGTGGGCAGTACCCGAGGATGTTTTGCCAAATGATAACCCAAGAGGTCCGGCGCCAAAGGTGCTTTTTTATAGTCTCCTGCCCCTTCGCCATCTTATTTCGTGTCTTTTTGAAGGGTCCAGGCTCTGATTCAGAAGGCAGTCTAAAGGATCTGGCGCCAAAGGTAGCACTTTCCCGTTGAATTCCCGCCCCTTTGGCATCTCACAGCATGTCTTTTTGATTCCAAGAATCAGGGTTCTGGTTCAAAGGCATGTTTCTATCATTTTCTCATGTGATACGAATCGATCATTTGTCTGCCAGGCCGTCGCCGCGATTCAGACTGTTGTCACGGTTCAAACCCTTGTCACGGTCCAGACTCATGTCATCACCAAGACCGCTCGCAATACGTGCATGACAGAGGTCTTATCTACTGCTGAAATGGTACTGACCCAAGATATCGACGCCGGCGCCAACAACTACGCCTGCTATGCCAACCACTCTTTCGTTATGGCGCGCGAATTTGACTGGGACTGTGCGCTTCAGGATGCAATCAAGGTGACGACGACTCATTGTGCCCCCTTACAAAAATCCTAACTTCGATCATGACATAGTCCCTCACTATACGTCCCTCGTTGGCAGGATATATTGCCCAAGGTATCGCCCTCTGCGGAAAACAGCTCGTCGAGGATGCGAGAACAGCCTTTGACCTCGCGTCCACATTTACAGACGGAAATCCAGATGCTACTCTTTTCCTTTTCTTGATCAAGGTAGGTTGAATTTTTCTTGCGTGCTCCGCGCTTCATTATGGGTTTCAGGCTATCGCATTGTTCAATGCAAATGAACACAAAGAGGCAATGCTACTCGTCGAACAGCTGGCTGCCGATCCCAATGCCGATCTCTTCGTTTGTCGTGTCGTGGAGGTGAGTATCGTTTACTCATGTTAGTGCGCTCATTGATGTGTCTGCGCATCGCATATCAGGCGAATCTGCGAATCCAACTGGGAACCATTGCCTTCGAGGGCGCGCATCACAATGAAGCTGTTGACCACTTCGCTGCTGCTGTCAAGGCTAGCACTTTCTTGGCTAAATTAGTCCCTCCTTCTGCATGCAAAGCTTTTACCGTGGTACGTTGATGTGATGCAACTAAACATTCCTTTCACACTCAAATGTGTGATTTTTTTGCAGTTATTCGGGTGGGAGCTTGAGTCATTGTGGCAAACCGCCAACAAGAAACTGTGTCTCGCACTCCTTAAGGCTAGAAGACTTGGAGAGGCTTTCGAATCGTACAGATATGGAATGGATGCAAGCGATGAGGCTACGAGGGCAGGCTTACGTGCGTGGATCTTGAGTAAGTCTTTCAGTAATGCCATCCATGCTACGGTCTTTGACTGCTTTTCACTTAGGCATTTCGTTATGACGAATGGTGGGATGTTCTACTAACAGAGATAAAACACTCACCACGACCAGTTACACGTGCATTTTAAATCACAGAAATCCTTTTACTTAGCTCTCAAGTAATGAAGCACGCTCCATGCTGCCGACGGAGATGCAGTCCTCGAGCAGTTACATACGTATTTTAGAACGCGGAAATCATTTGTACAGTTACCTCGACATCACTTGTATTTATTTGTACTCGTATCGTATATCATAACACGAGCGCACACTGCAAATCCGAAATTGTAAATTCTCGACTTAGTGACGCTGGGGGAATTGCGTTTGGTCGTGACGAAACGTTTGGATGGATGCTCAAGGAACTGAAGCCTCACGCGAGAAGAACATCAACCTCGCCTGTTCTTCCCTACCTTCAATGCAAACTATTAATCGCAGAAAAGCGTACACAGTCCGCTGCGTTCGATATTCACCACCAAGATATCCAAATTTACGACGACAAAACCAGCCATGCGGAGTCAAACCAATTTGACTGGTCATGAAGCTTCCTCTGCGCCTAGATGCCCGCCCACAGTTGCCCAACAGTAATGCCCGCATCCGGCTGCACACGGATGGCCCGCCAGTGTCCTCTCCCCCCGACTCTCAGAGCAGGTAACTTCCTCTCCCTCCTCCCCATCATCATCGCGTTCTCTGATCAGCGAACGCCCTCGCGCTGATAAAGAGGTTGGGATATCGACCATTGGACGCCCCATGTGATATCGCCTATAGCACTCCTGGTGACCACCATGCGTGCAAACAGAACATTGGAAAAGCAGTGTGCGGACGGGAAGATGACTAATGACAATGAGTTCTCAGCGTGTAGAGTGACATAGAGTGCTTGACTGACCATATCGAACACTTCACAACCGCGCTTTTGCATGTCGTACAGAATGCGTGAGCTCCAGTCACTGTTCGAGCGCGTGAAAGAAGAATGGGTTTTCGACAACGTCCACAGGCAGTATAAATGATGGTTTCAAGCTAAAACTTATCTTCAACACCGTCCCGCCCATCAGCCGAACAGGACTCACCTTAGTGGTATTTGAAACGTCCTCGAAATCGCCGCATTTACGCAAGTACGCGGCACAGGTGTGCAGTCGGAGACGAGTGAGTAGTTCTTACGGGTATTGGTTCAAGCGTTCATGCCAGGCAAACACCAAAGCTCACCGATATATGCCTCTAAGAATTGCAAACCTCTCCTCTGGCTGATCCCCAGTTCCTTCGCTGCAATGAGCGCTAGCATAGCACACATCTGAACATCGCCCTTATTTGTGTTGGATCAGATATTATGTGAGACCACATCAATTTATCGCTTACTGCTTCTGCGAATTCTTCAACTGCCTCCCTAAGTGCGTGCCATGCTGCCTCGCGAAGCTGAGCTTCTTCTTCCATCACAGCACGACGTCGAGATTCAGTCATACCACGCCAGGCTTGGTAATCATCCGACTCCGCATCCGCTCGCGAGGCATCCTCATCATGATGTATGAGCCCAGTACTTTGCTCCTGTTCGCGGACAGATCCAGCAGTAACTGTACGAATGCTACTGTGGCTCGCCTGCTTCACCAAGTGAGAACTCTCGGACGCTGACTGTGCAGGAGATGGCAGTGATGCAGCAAGAACAGCGACGGTGGCACTCCGCGTGCGACTCTTCAGTCGCTTGGCGGTCGAGTTCTTTCTGAGGCGTGTTTTCGTCACGGAAGCTGCTTTTACCCTGACCTTCTGTGGTCTGGTACTGCACTCCGAATCACGGCCGCTATGCCCTTCGCCGTCAGTATCAGTTGATCCAGGTGACGGACTAGCCTCGTTGTCCTCATGCTCCTTACCACCATCATCCTCATCCTCCGTCCAACGTTGCCCAGCGAGTCTGGAGAGTGGGCTGGGATGCGCCGGGCCTGTGCGGCCCATGCTAAGACTCCTCGACTTCAACATTATGGGACGTCGGATATCGGGTGGTACATCTCTCTCGTTTTCACTATGGCTATCCTGGGCATCGGCGCTCACTACTACGCAGTTCTCACTGCCATCTGACGAATCCGAGTCATCCAGGGCGCCTTCACCTACATGGCGGAGGCTTCGGTCGCTCACACTGATACTAGGTGTGCTAGGGCTCTCACTGTGGGCTGCAGACGCACGGTTATACACAGACGGCCGCCGCGCATGTCCCTGTCCCTGTGCCGCGGTGGAAATCAGAACTGATGGACGGCGAGGTGTAGCAGGCGTCATGATTGCCGAAGGCGGGAGTGCTGGCGCTGGCGGAAGGGAAGTGGGAATGTGGCGAGGCGATGAGGATGTAGACGACGTAGGCGTCAAGTTTCGTGAATTAGGGGGTGGTTTAGTTGTGGGCGAGCCGTCTCGCTCCCCTTCACGTTCCCTCGATGCGGAGGTTCCGTTGCTGTTTTTCGATGTGGAGCGTTTATCTTGTGGGTGAGGTTGAGGATATGTTTGACTGGTAGCACGTGGCTGAGCGGGGAAGTGGGAGTGGGGCGTGTCTGTTGAATCATCTTGGAGACAGAATCTGACGAGGCAGCACGGTGTGAGGCGGGTTTCGAGGCGGATCCTGAGGCATGTGATCCAGATCTTGTACCAATTGTAGGGATAGCAGCAGGGGCTGAATTAGAGTGCGTAAGGTGCACGACAATCTGATGGTTCTTCTCCGAATGAGGTGAAGGTCTAATGTACTCTGGAATGACGTCGGTAAGCAGAGAGCCAAGCAGCAGCCATACTTGTGCTGCGTGCACACTTCCCCCTTGAATAGATGCCTACGGACATTTGTTCACTTATAAGCACCCCCCATACGGGAAGAGCACTGACCTCGGTATTAACCTTGCAAACGGCTGCCCTATTCCTCCCGTCAGACTCAATAAGGTACTTTCTTGCCAGATGCTCAAATAATCCTCCAGATTCCGTGTTACGAAGTCCTCCACGTACATACGTACCCATAGTCTGTAGAACAGGCATGCGAGGCTTGTCGCCAAGGCATTTGGGTTTGAGCTTTCGTTCAAGAAGTATGTGTCGTTTGTCGGGCTGACTGCATCACAAATAAGAAAATAGTTGCGACATAAAGTGGAGAGTACGGACATATCATCGTAGGGTACTTCCCATCTGGTTCTCCTGTCTGAGACAAAAGCTAATGTTCCGTCGGTATCCCCATCGACACCAACATTCCAAGCGAGCGCCACACGCGGAATGGCATCAATAGGGCGTACAGACCTACGTAAGTCAACTTGAGCAAATGTTCCAGATGCATGCTGGACCCAAAGTGCATGCGAGTCGCGGAATATGGCATCTGCAGATGCAGGACATAGGTTATTACTTCAATGAGACTGATAATTTAGATACGTACCGGTCACTCCCCCTTCCGACGAGCTCGCTTCAACAGTCCACTTAGCAATCCAGCCGCGTCTTACATCCCATATTTCTACGGCATCGGCACCGTTACCTTTGGGTTCCTTGTCTTTAGTGACAGAACTGGAGGCATTAATAAAAGCTGGAGTTGCGAACTGTAATCGAGGGCTAGCTAATAGCTCGCTGCCACTCCCTCCGCCAAAGTCCTCATTGGACACAAGTGCAATCTCGGAGGGGAACTCAGGACGCCAGAGTACTCGGCGTACAGGGAATGACGGATGTAGGGTATAGGTAGGCTGATGCGCAATATGAACGGATGTGCCAGATGTGGTGAGGTCCCAGACCTGATGCCCATAAGTAAACGTAGCGCAATGAAGTAAAAACAACGTACTTTGACAGTGTGGTCCAAACCTCCGCTGACTATCCAGCTCCTATCAGCACCAATATTATCACCAACATTACTAGAACCTGGAGTGTTACACCAGTCCAATGCGAGAATTGGACCTGCATGGGCTACAGGTAACCTGTCAAGTTGGCCCCTCTGGCCCATTTGAAGATCCCAGCGATAGATTGATCCGTTATCAAGACCTACAACAGCTTGAAGGGGATGGGATAGACATGGTGAGAAGACAAGAGAGCGAACGGAGGTTGGATGGTGGATCTTTATGATGGACTTCGACATGTCCCGAAGATCCTACTCCAAAGGTGAGCTACCGAGGAGGCCAGGACACGATAAGTACACACCCAGACACGCATATCACCATCAGCAGAACCTGTAACACAGTAGTACGGAACTATAGTGGAGCAGGATAACTTGTGGATCGAACGGATATGGAACTTCGTCTTCCTTTCTAACGGTATTTGAGATGTAGAATTTGATATTAGATCAGTCTACGCACCGTACTTGGCATTGCCAGCCTTGTTGAGGTCCCACATAATGAGATCCCCATTCCGCGCGCTTGTAAGAATCTTGTTGTTAAAACCTTCAAAGGAGGGGATGTGAATGAAGCGCTGAACATTGTACTATTTGTAGCTGCTTACTGCCATGGCACCAGGCAACATCAGTAATTGCACTATCAATCTTCAAGCCACTTCCATCCCATATGTTCCGCGACGCTTCAATACGATGCCCACCGCGACCAATAGAGGCTTTGTAGTCATTATTCATGACATCTTCTGGATCAGACAGACGCAAGATGCGCAGGGCTAACGGTAAGTTTCAATAACGCGTCAATCTGGTGCTACACGAAATATTAAGATGTAACTCACATTCTCGTCCTGCAACAACGCATCTTAAACCATCGTCACTCTTCGCTATCGTCCCTCCACCATTGGTTGTTGCACGGTGCAAGCGGACATTTCTCACTGGTCCCTGGTATCCGTACTTGCGCGAGTCCGAGTAGAGTTCCGCCGTATAACCTACGAGAGACAACGGTACTGCGGAATTGAGCGTTGACGCACGTCTGGGGACTGTTGATTGCATATCCCAGAGCTTGTCGTTCACGTCGATGAATCACTCCGACAAGGTGCTGTTGCTCGCCATATTAGGCAGCCGCATATTACCGTAATACCTTCTTTGGCCGCCCTTTCGCAGCCAAGTTTATGCGCTATATATTTCTGTAAGTTTCGCGCTGTACAACACATCGCTTCTAACTTCTAGGTTAGTGTGAACTCAATTTTACAATTTCCGTGGAATCCTTCAAGCTTGTTTAAATGCGGACCAGTCTGGTTTTGTCAAGAGGAAGAAGACAATGTTTTTAGTGGCTCTTTCATGGGTTATCGACATCGCACTGTTTGATGCTCCGCAGTCACACATAGAAGAGCGGCGACGAGTGTGGATCGACCGCAGCATTAACTCTCCGTGCTGGAAGAATTAATTCGCTTATACTAGCCAGCCGCCTCCGAGGATTCACCTCTGCGACATCAATTGGGTAGTGGCCTGTCAAGATATTGGAGCGATAGTTTTCCCACATGCTGCACTGACGCCTCCAGTGATGCCCTCAATGAAGACCCCCGAATATGTTAGCGCCTCGGTATCACCCTCCTGGATACCGAAATGCACGACATCACCCTGTTGCGCAGCTGTTTCGTTGGGATCCGCGAGCGGAAGCTACATTGCAATTCGACAACTTTTTATCCAGTCATATAGTGGCTTACTTACCTTTAGTACACCAAAATGATAGTCGCCCTGGCCAGCTGCACCGGGTGAAGCGCTCGAATTCTCTACAAGGCCAGTAACAGCTTTCAGTGGCTCTCCATTGGTAGAATAGAAGACGCCAAGTGTAAGATTCGTCCAGTCGATCTGGACCGCGAAGTTATGCCAGTCGTGGGATGTAAAAGGCGTCTCAAACAAGAGGTCAAGCGCATGGTTGCGAACTTTCAGAAATCGAGCATCAGAGACAGGTACAGTGCCCGTGGGGATGGTGAAAGGTGAACCTATATCAGGGAGTGTCAGGGAGAGGGAGATATAACAACTTTGGCATCATGTAACACTGACCGAGCTGGATCTCGAAAACGTGGGTTCCATCATTAGGCTCAATCCAGACGATCTGGTACTCATGACTCATATTCAAAGGTTTCTCTAACTCCTCCAGAATGGATACATGGAACACGGTGGTTCCTACATCGGCGATAGCGTTCAAGGCGGTGTGGTTCCCATACTTTTGCGCAATAAGCTCCGTTCTGCGGAAACCGTTTTGAGGCGTGCTACCGCCAGGGACGAAGACAGAAGTATTATCAATCGAAATCGTTATCGGCTGTTCTATAGGAGACCATAGATTGGGCGACCATAATGGGGTAGCATTGAGCGCATGCCCATGGAGCTGAGTATACTGCAAATCGGTTATTTAGCAGCCTATCATCGTCAAGTAGGATACAACCATACGTATGAGGCATTCATTATGCCTTTCACTACTCTGAGATGAAGTTAGTCCGCGTATGGGGAAATGGCAAATGAAACGATATTTACGACAAGTAGGGGTCCAGGGAATTGTCCAAGTCTCCAATGGTATAGTTGAAGGGGGCGCGGCCATCATAGATCAAAGGGGTTGCCGAAGTAAGTGATGCAAAAGCAGCAAAGGCAAGGGCAATCGAGCGCAGCATCTTAACCATTCAAGGCCAGCTTGAAGCCCAAGGCGAGAATTTTAAAGAAATCCAACACGTAGAGCATGTCACCTGCCAGCGCGCATTTGAATTCCAAATATCGGGTTAGAGGGGAAACTGGGAATAATTATCAGTATTCATCAATTATAACATTACTGCCGGGCGGAAGAAGGAAACCATGGGAAGATATTTGCACAACGTGACCATCGTTAATTAGGATCATAGAGTATTATTACTCAATGGCCCCATGGGATGAAGGTTTCGAATATCGTCCCTCGTCAAAGAGTTGTGATCACCGGCCACGAACCCCGCCTAAAAATGAGCAAAGATCATCTCCGCGGCCTGACGGGGCAGGCCATGGTTTGTCGTGACAATCGTGGTAGGCTGTTGGCCTGTCGCAGGTCATGCATATGCTTGGTCACCACAGACCACGTCAGACCAACAGCTGCCTAGAGACATTCGAAAACAAAATAAATCGAGCATATTGAAACAGTCTCACTATGCAAAAGAATAAGTAGACCATATCATTTTTGTCGAACGTTCGAGGTTCCGTTCGACTACAAACCAAAGCAAATATTACTGGACTCAAAAAATCAGAAAGATGCTAGTTCACAGAACATTGCTGTATGTTCGTAAGCTTAAGGCGATTCAAACTGGAGTCGGGGACTGGCGTGGCCGACGTCCGTAAATGCATTAGAAGTAACTGCATACATGGATTGGGGTATATGCAGATGAGTTGTTGTCCAAAAGATATGAGCGAAGAACATACCACTACACGCCCCAAAATATTCTCGAGAAATACTTCTTCATGCCCCCTGCACCATGTATGATCGCTCCACTTACTGCGTCCGAGTGTATCGCAAATACCTTCATCAGGCCAGATTCCACGAGGTAAGCCGAATAAGCATAGCCACAAGGTTAGTAGGCGATACAGCGGGTGTTACTGGTGCGATTGAAGGCAAAACGACTGCCGATCGCACACCATTTTTATCGTACTCCTCCAGCGCGCCCAAGATCAAGGTGGCATCTGTAAGACTCGGCCCAAACACAAGCACCGTGTGATATCAGGGTCTTCACGTCAGACTCCACATTGCACCTGCAACACATTCGGTGCATCAGTCGCCCTGTATCTGGCCTCCAGATGCCCCTCATCATCCGATGCGAAGGTTGGAGTCATTATCGACGATACGAACTGGGATGCCGTTCTGAAGGAGTGTAAGCGCTACTACCAGACCTGCTGGCCCAGCGCCCATCTAAGACGGAGGAATTCAGTCGATGTGCAATATAAGTATGCCACTTACGACCAGTACAGGAAGACGAATGGATTTCACATGTAAAGGTTGATGAGTTTACAAGTCCTGGGTACAGAATTGAATAGACAATCGTGTCGGGCGCAGCAGATCAAAGCGAAGAGGTTGGGGCAGGTAAGGCTCGTGCACTAGATCTTTATGGCGCCGACCGGACGGCTGCGGACGCACTTCCATAGCTTTAATGTTGATGCCAACGAGATAGCTGTTTGAATGATTGATGTGAAATTCAAGCATTTCTGTTAAACTTTGAAGACGCACATCGCCTTGTGGGGTTGGCTTCTTCTCAATTGAGAAAGGCAAAAATACTCTTTTCACGTAGGCTGCGCTCGTATATGTGGTTTACAAAGAGCACCGTCTTGCCAACGAAACAATGAGTTGCCCGTAGCGATGGAGGCGAAAATGTGTTTGTGAGTAGAGCCCAACGTGAGGGAGACGTCATAGATGCTCACAAGCATATATGGACTCCAGCGTCAGACAAGACTCGAAAGACAACCCAAGAGAGCTACAGAATTTATCAGGCCACTCTCAAATCCCCTGAGCAATTTCAGGCTACTTCTGATTGCCGCTACGATATCCCACGGGCCTGTTTGCCCAGTGTAGTGTGCGGATTCAAAGAGTAAGTGAAAGGCCGGGATCTCGTAGGACATGATGCTCCCTCCAAGAAGGCGCAAAGAGTTGGTGATACTGTCACCTGTGTGTGGTTCAATCTGTGAAGAAACATCGGCTTAGGCATCTTGTGGTGATTTCAGACATATCGAGATGCACTTCTACGAGAATCAGGCTCCAAATTCTCAGTTGAATGGGAGTCGGCGGCTTGCCACATGAGGAGCGTTACGATCAAGTAGTTTTATCAAGACTAGTACATAGGTTGAAAACGTGATCTCGGGAGACACGTGAGCGGCATTGCCGCCGAGGATTTAGTTTTGTTCAAGAATTACCAAGTAGAAAAACAATTGTATAGATCACACAAAATTACTGTCTTTCAGCATGGGAAGACTAGCACATGAGCATTGAGCATGCAGTATCTAGTATCTGGTATCTAGTAGATGTATGGAGAGTATGATATATTGAGCCTCATACAATGAGCGCCAACGCCGAGATGCTAACGAGTCACGACAAACATGGTAACAACAACATGCGGGGTATAAACGTTAAACAATAACCGACCATGGAATATGATGACAGAAGAACGAAATCGATGGAATGCGAAGCTCACAATTCACATAGAAGCTAACAAAAGATAGTCGAGCCCGCTCAACAAAGAGATGTCTGATCGACAGGATAACAGCGTAGATCAACTACTTGAAAAGAAACCGACGACGGGCGGGCTTGTGAGCCATCCGTTTGCGGCAGGTACCAGAACTTGTCGGGGTTACACTCAATGTGCTTGATGCAGCAGTGGCCACCAAATTGTTAGGCGATTGTGAGGTCGTACGAACACTTGATATAGCGGTGGAAGAAACCGCGGGTGGCTGAACCGTAGATGTGATGAACACTGTGCTAGTAGAAATCTTGCACGATGAAACTAGGGTCGTAGAGGCTGCGGCGCCGGAAGAGGTCAGGGGCAATGAAGCAGGTGGTGAGGGCGATGAAGCAGGTAGTGAGGGCGATGAAGCAGGTGGTGAGAGTGATGAACCAGATGGCAAGACTGATGAACCAGATGGCAAGACTGATGAAGCAGGTGGCAAGACTGATGAGCAAGGTGGTGACGGTGACGAAGCAGGTGGTGACAGTGATGAAGCAGGTGGCAAGACTGATGAGCAAGGTAGTGACGGTGATGAAGCAGGTGGTGACAGTGATAAAGGTGGTGAGGGTGATGCAGCAGCTGACGAGGATGAAGCAGCTGACGAGGATGAAACAGCTGACGAGGATGATGAAACGGCTGACGAGGATGATGAAACGGCTGACGAGGATGGTGCAGCAGCTGACGAGGATGAAACAGCTGACGAGGATGATGAAGCAGCTGACGAGGATGAAACGGCTGACGAGGATGATGAAGCAGTTGACGAGGATGATGAAACAGTCGATGAGGGTGATGAAACAATTGCTGCAGGCACCGCGGCGGCAGAGGACGATGTACCAAAGATATCATTCTGTGCGCCTGTGGTAATGTATCAGACACGTTTCCAATGACAATCAAAGCACGAAAATCCTCACCATCCTGGAATCCACATTTGCTATTGTACGCCGGGCTCTTGGAATTGCCGCTCAGGTCAGTGCCATTAACCGCGATGTTATTTCCCTCAGCCTGATTCCAGATCAGGATTTGCTTCGCGCCCTTAGTACATGTACTCTGGTCCTCCTCGCACCAGACGGGAGGCTTGGGAGTGGCAATAGGGGTAGTGGAGGTAGCGTTGGTGACCATGCACTTGAATCCCTGCATGTAGATGTTAGGCTCGCCGCACCCATTCGGAATCTACAAGATATTGTTAATTGACGGTGATGAAACGCAACCGAGAGACAACGAACCCAAACCCACTGTTGAAGATGAATGAAAAGTTAGCCTTGTCGAGAGAAACCATTAATAACTTACAGCACAAGTGCAACCATCTGCGGGACAAGCAGGCATGTCTTTTGGAACATCGTAGCTTGTGACACGTTTCCAAGGGGTGCTATAATGAAGGGTCAGGGGAATTCGCAGGGTCATCGGACATGAAACGCACTTATAGCGGACGGTAAACACGGCGAGGTTATCCATCGTAACCTGGCTGATATCCGACTGCTCGATTGGTAAGCTTTGTGTTCGATCAGACAACAAACAGGAACCGACCTGGTAAGAGATTGCGAATGCAGTCCCAGCAGCCATAGACTGGTTCTGTGTATGCACTACTCATTGTCAGCGCAATTGTTCGACCACGCCTAATTTATACTCACTGTTTGGATTGCCTATGCAATCACTAGAAGAAAGAGGGGCGCCCGCCAAATTTGTGATGGAGTAATCCTCAGGATGATTTCCGCCATCACCCCACTCGGTTGCGAATTGTCCATTAAAGGACAGGGACGTCACACCGCGGTTCGCGGCTACTTCGACAGTAAAGGAACTTCCGGCGGGTCTGGGACAGACAGTGAGATTAACACGATTAGAACAGAACGCAAAACACACAGCTCAAGGAAGTCTCCTGGCGCAGGGGGGAATTCATCACACTAAAAATATAAGCATAAACTCATGGATCAAAAATATAGACATACTTGGTTGAAATGATGAAACCAATAGTCACTCTTCGACAGCATCCACAGGGGGCTGACTGGGTCATCATTGTTATAATTGACCTGGCCGGTCGCAGTGCCCTAGAGACAGAACACTATCTGAGTTGAATCACGCGACATAGAGTGTTAGACTGACATTGAAGCAATACATTGCCTTGTGGAACGCGGCCATATGCGCGTTAGTTAGCAGAGCGAGAGACGATAGCACGAGCAATTTTGAAGTCATTGCGTCGGGACTGGGAAGGATCGACAGGAAAGAGAGTGGTGTATGTGGAGGCCGAATTCGCGTGCAACGCGTGTGATCAACTGAGAGAAAGGAAAGACGACGTTCTGAGAGAAAGAAAGATGAAAAACAGCGAGCGTCTCTCAAATCCTGATATACAGTGGTGGACCATCCATCCACTAAACTTCTTTTGTTCTTATACAAACCGTAATGGGGCTAAAACGATATCACTGTCCGTTTTTGGTCATCTACAAAAGGTTAAGGTGAGAATATCATCGATCATTCCCTTGGAGACCCTCGGACAAGTTTTCAACGTTCTGCTAGGACCATATGCTACCTATCCTCATCTCCGTCTGTAGCATGAAAAGACCATGCGCCGTCAAAATTCAAGACAACCACAAATCATTGCAATTTGGGAGCTCAGCGCTCAGTTCTCGATCGAAATCAAACCATTCAATATTCAATATTCAATGTTTGACATTGACAAGACATGGGATCAGAAGCCGGTCTAGCTCCACCGTTGGGCCTGCCGCCCACTTGCCATGTACAAGGAGCAAATAATTTGTCTGCGCATACCAGAATCTAGGAACGTTGTATGCCGCGATTCAGTTTGGATGATAGGCCTACGATGCTTCGCTGGGGTGAGACTCGGTTCTAAAATTTGCTGAGTACAGTTCTTGCCCTACGAACTTAAGCTGATCGACAAGAGGGCGGAAAATGGTACCCCGCGTCTGGACTCTGGAGTGATGCTGCCGCGGTGAGTCGCCTTGCAAGTGCCATTCAATTATCTCAGCTGATTCTTGTTTCCTTGTCTACATGAAGAAACAACGAGAAGATGAAGCCTATTTGATTTCCGATAACGCAACCATGTCGATCGATTGGCCAGGGTCCTTGCCAGTTTTTGCAGCACTCGGCTAGCGTAGTTGCTGCATAAGGTTTGAAATTTCACACATTGCGTTGGTTCGACCATATCTTCCCCTCAGTTTCCCCTTTCTGGTTCTCCAACGTAAGTTATGTGCGACACGGATACGGCATTTTCTGTGGACTCGTGTGGGACGCCTTGCAGACGGCATGGGCACCCTTGGTCTCGGAGTGAAAAGGCGCCGTAAACAGAATCGGGGGTTTCGACGGAGATCACTTTGTGCCTCGCGCAATGCTACTACTTTTGCATCCCGCACAAATCCAGCATCGCAACATGATGTCCAAGAGCAACCACGAACGAAGTTCACGCGTGTACCAACTCTATCTAAGAGAGACGATTAGAATGTTTAAGTGGGAGTGCGGTAACCTCAGGGTAAGCCCTCGTTACGAATTTGCTTCGGTACTCAAGTTCGCGTGTTAGAAACATGCACACGGTGCATTCCATATGTAATATCATCCATTCATCATGGTTTTGGGCCGAAGTGAAAAGGTGCATTGCATGATCACGGGCACTTGGTCTTGAGCAAGTCTTGAGTTCCTTCTCGGAGATACTAGTGGCCACATTTGGTACTTATATGTCTAAATGACATCATTACATGTGGTGCTGTCGCGTTCACCAGCACCTTATGTAACACACGAAGCTTGTTCACCCATTTTTGCACCCATTTTGCGAAACATGGCAGTCGTTATACAACGCTTCGTCGGAGGCACGCCAATTGACCCTTTGAAGTTACAAAAGACTCCGGACGTAGAACTCACGAAGAAAGAAGTAGACTGACTGACTGTCTGTCTGTCTGTCCAAGTGTGAGCGGAAGTAGCCTGGAGCTGCTTCGCGGAACACATGGTGAGAGGAAATTTCTGCTGTGTAGAACGCTAAGTGTAAGTGTTATGCAGACTATGACACATGTGGTCGAGGAAGACAAGACAACCAATGGCAGGTGCACTACATGTTTGACAAATCTCAAGTTAATTATCGACTCAATTTTATAGACCCTGTCATCTGAATTTTGTGCATGCCTGGAGACCATTTTTGTTTGTATCACAATGCATTATTAGGCAGCGGACACCGGGCTGATGGATCTACAGGTTGTGAGAGCGTTGTATATTGTATAGTAATGTTTTAAGATCAGTATCCGACCACGCACAGACTCGCGCTACAATACACGCGAACCCGACCCTTTACGTGTGGCAGCAATACACGATCCATCCAATTGACCATCGTCGCCCCTAACTCATACCGCAACGCGGCCAGCGATCGCACGAGGAAACATGCAGAGAACAACATGTAGGTTTGAGTAACTTCTTACCTATGTAATTTGGTTCTCAAGAGCCATTAAATCGAGCAGAGTTGGGGTTGTTGTACCGCATCCTGCAGCTTTCACCAACCCATCTTCAGGCAAGACTTCGGTTACGACTAAATGTTGAGACGAAGTTCGGAGGACCATTAACAATCAGCTGCAAAGACTTCAGGTGACCGTTGAAGACATTAAATGCAACCAAAAACTTACCACCGGTACCAGACGGCCTCGGCCTTTTCATACTCAGGGGCCAATTCATGAATCTCGATCGTCCATATCCGCCTCGCAGATTCACGCGTGACATTCTCCACGACAATGCCATGTCCGACTTCATTTCATCGTGGCATAACATCAATGTGCTGAAACATGGTACTGAAGCACGCAGAACGCTGACGTCGTGATTGTAAGTTTGAATATCGATCGCGCTCAAGGGCATCAACAAACTCGTGTCTGACTGCAGAAAATCACGAGTGCTTGGGCTTGTTGTAGATGCTTTATCATGAACAAAGACGACTGGGTTTCCTGTTCTATAGCAGGCATCAGATCAGTGAAAACGTTGGGGAATTCAATGTAGGTGGGTCTATTGTCGGTGACGCTGTAGTTGTGGTTGTTTCTATCTCGTCCCTTATGCTGAAGTTACAGACGCTCAGGTAATTCAATATTATAAGGGGGAGATCCTGAAGCATATTTCTGATCGCAGCCTCAGCTATAGACCTGGTGCTGAAATCGCTGAGGGAAATGTCAGGGCGCAATCAAGATACGAAGAAAAGCATTTTCCTTCATTAGCTCTTTCTTGAATATGCCATCACGGGGCAATCAGCAATCACCGAGGGTATGAGATTAATTGCAGGGGTATGTAGTACTTTCTGTGGAAGCCAGCAGCCCTGCTGAACCAAAAGGTCATATTCGCGTCGTGTGATCAACAGCGCGTTTCGCGCTGCTATATGAAGGCTTTCCGCTCGACTTTTGTACAGGGTCGCTCTTGCGAAGGCTGCCGTATTGTGCCTGTGAGCTCATTGATGATCAGGAACAAGGCTCCCTGCGTTGATACGCACGACTCGGAGTTGGCTGGTCGTGTGTGACCATGATGGGTTGAATATGCGGCGATGAACAACATAACATTCCAAATAGGACAGGTCACTTCATGAATCATTGATAATTTGATATTAAGCAAAGCCCCCGCCGTTTTGTGATGCTTGAAATTTACATAAATCTAGAATTACCCTCGATGAGATCCTTTTGATCAGTTTGGGGAGACATAGGGATGCACCTCTGTGAGTATTTGCAACAAGGCCTTAGGTTCACCTGCATAGTAGCTAGACAAGTGTCATCAAATTCTACAGGTAACTTACCAGGGTCCGGCATCTTCAAGTTGCGCCCGTGACAGGGATTTGAAAAACAAGTTCCAATCCAATTATATGTACAGATCTGAGGAATGTGGCGGGTCCGGTCTTGCATGCGATAACTTGTTGGGACTTGCTGCAGTGGAATAAGAGTGAGATCACACTAGTGAGATAATCAAAAACCTTTGCTTGAAACTCGGAAACCATACTAACCTGGGCCTGCTACTACCGACAGTAGCCAACGGTTAAAAGTAACTTCCCGAAATTACGTACATACTACCCAGTCGCATAAGCTCCATGATGAATGATAAGCCTAAGGAAGGAACAACCTCCTTCTATCAAGTTGGTCTATCTACGGGAGTAGCAGACGGTGTAATGTGAAATCTTTTACTGTTTCGCTTCTCAATTGCAGCCGGGTCACTACTCGCTCGAGCTTATCGTCCCTGTTCAATCGTTCTCCACCCAACTTCAAGTTGTGACCATATCGCCCATCAAATGGTGAAGGACCCGGCACCTTGAAAAAAACACGCCTACTCACTCAGCCCAATTGGCCAATCTACGCAAAATTGAACATTCATCATCTATGGTTTTACTTCACACACAGCAGACGGTCAAGGTACGAGCGGGTGACACTCTACCATTCAGCTTTTTAACCGACTCTCGTGCTTTGCTTACAGTACTTTCGAGGTGCGTTACTCGCTTCCCTTGTCCGTTCTAGCCTGTGTTTAAGTGTTGACAAAGTTGCACCGGCCGCTGTTTGGGTGAGTTAAGTGTCACTACTCTCGCATGTCCGTCCGAGACCTTATCCCCTTCGTCAGGTATTCGATTATTGTTTGACTTTTGAACATGAAATTCGTCTGTTCAGCAGCATGGGCCGTTGGAACATCGCGCACGCCATGTTTATCATAACTAGATATGCCCCCATAGCATGGTTTACGAGTGAAATATATGGTGAGCAACACTATTCATTATCGGGGGAAATGATCTTATTGGTTTGCAGTCACTCTTGGGCCAGAATCAGTGGAAACAGTAACAATCGTCTCTGAATAATACTGAAATCATATTAATGCTGAGTAACACAGTGCTGACAACATATCGGACTGCTGGGGGTAGGTCACCTCACGATCACTAGTTACATGTCCCCTGACGTCTCCCAGGTGCCCTGGTTCTTATCATGGTGGCTACCGAAGGTCTGTGCACTTGTGTTGATTAAGCAACTGCCCCCTTCATGTGTTTTAGGTTTGCTTCTTATGCGTACACTTGCCTTGTGGCATCATAACGAGAAGATCAAACGATTTTTGTTGGCAAGTTACTTGGTAAGTGATTCGGCGATCCTGTCACCCGGGTGGTAATATCACTGAGGGCTTGAAGCTTGTTGCTACCTCAATGCTCATTTGCGATGTCCTGGCGGTGTCTCCGAATCTCGAAAGTGTATGTGCACCCACATCAACTCAGGGCTCAGTAGAGGAGGCCACGAGAGTGGAACGTCTGATTATGGGCATGTTCGTTAGCGCAGCGCTTTTTGAACTTAGTGAGCCACTGGCGATGCTGCCTCCCTTTGATTCTACTGAGAAATTCGTGCAGCGGTGGTTATCGTTACAACGTATCACTCTTTAACATCGCGCTCTGCTGGCATGCGCACCATCAATAATCTGGTGTCGAAATTGTGGAAGGGAAGTTTGCTATATGCGCTGTCGCTCTTTGGTATGTCATTCGGAAGTTTATTTATTTTTGTCTCACCTAACTGTACTCTAAGTGATCTCGGTTGCCAACATCATTTCTTTTTCTTTACCGGTACGTATTTTTCATGTACTCCGCCATGATTAGGTATGAACTATTGGTGCAGGTCTCAGACGGGCAGAGCGGTATCATTGATGTGTAAGTGGCTGCCCTTCGTAGTCCAATGCCAGCTGCTCAACTGTCATAACCAGGTTTCAAGGTGTCCTGCATGGTGTTATGGCTTCACGTATTCTTTTTGATCTGCGTGATGCAGACCGGAGTGAAAAAGATAACGCTCAACTCACCCCACATATGTCCCTTTTCTGATTTACAGTTTGCATCGCACAACATACCCATGACTGCCTTGCATAACGAAAGCAATGTATAAATTACATGCACCCATTGTTCACGTCTGAAACTCGAATGACTGAAGCTGTGTTGGCTGTAGTTGTGATTTAATGGATGCTGAAGCTTGTTGCCATCTGCGCGGCCACTCGCGGTCTGATTGCGAGCGTCTGCTGAAAAGTATATGTGTGCCCGCGTCAACTCAGAGCACCGCAGAAGTCGCTATGAGACTGGAACAAAGTTTTTCAACGCAGCGCTGTTTGAACTCGGTGAGCGATTCAGATAGCTTTCAATTCGCCTCGCATTTATGCATTCGTCGTATTCAGGCTGTACCGCAGACGATCCAAATGACTGACTTACACGAAAGTAATGGATGATTATGCCTCACGGAGTGCAGCGTCTTTCGGTCCAAAATATCGTATGCAATGCTCGAGGCAATCTGAACCTTCTTCACGTGCGTTAACAAATTGACCAGACCGTTAAGCTAGAATATTTTGCCGTTCTAGCGCCAGGACACAATCCGTATGTCCCCCGATTGAGCACGCACTCCCCCTTCCTGACCCTCAAGTGTGGTTACACCGAGTTCATTTATGGAGGTACTTAATTCCGCACCTCGCGCTTATCGTTCAACGAACGACAACCTTAGAATAACCTAGGGGATTTGAGCACAAGGCGACCTCGTAGTTCTTTGGGAACACACTGGTATCGTGGATACATTTTGCCGCATATAGTACATACTTCAGGACCCTGAAAAACCCGCAACCCCTAAATGGTTGCGGTTCCCACTCTCGCCGAGTGTCTCGTTCTTGGCTGCAGTGAAATATTGTGAGTACGTATATCGATTGTCAAATGTTCCAAAGATAATTGAACGATCTGCGGGCTGTGTTAGGTTGTGTTTCCCTGTCTCTGGAACGGCTCTTACCAGACTTCCGTCTTTTTGCCCTGAAGAAGCATGATGCTATGATATCAATCAACGCTCAAGTATATAATCCACATGTGACACGACATATTCCATTGGGTCAATCTTGATCTGTCACACGAACAATGGCAATTAAACGATAATTAGGCAGGTCAGCCTCTGTTAGCCTTAATCTCGAATTCTCACTGTGGTTCACTGTAGCTATACAATGTACGTTAGCGCTGACGGGATGATCTGACTGAGTGGATCCGTAATACGGAGGCCAAGTATTCCGTCTCAAAATCACAATCCAATGGTAGCAGTGCATCAAAGTTATTCATTAACATGTATGTGGATTTCCATCCAATGACCGAGCACTGATGTTTCATCAACGCATACACGCATAACATCCTGCCTATCAACCTTACTTCTCAGCGCTGCTGATAATTTTCCAAGTTCGAACACTCCCGGCACGACCACCGAGTCCGATCAATGCACATCAACGCACGTACACGTGAGTTTCAAGAACGTGTGCTTATGCTTCGCTGCCAATCTGAATCGCGATAGGGCAGGATAGGGCCAGGGCTTGGCCTTGTCATGGCAACGTAGCTCCATAGGCTGGCTACATGCTGCTAGTACACAGCAGGAGTTGTCAGTATTGTCAGTAGTTACAACGTTCACCACTTCGGAACCTGTACATCTTTCAAGACATCGGAGTATATCGGCCAATGATATAGACGCTATTATTCGACGATCTTCTGACCTCAATGATGAATCTCATAGGTGGACTATGGTGCTATCGTTTCAACATTGTACTAGTATACTACAGCTATATGGTCATTGAAGGGGTTGCAAAGGATTATCGCCAGGTATTGTATATTGTGTAATTATGATTGAAAAGATCTTAGCTATCTGACAAGGGTGTTAACTTAAACGTTCGGCAAAGTACTGTTAAAAATAAGCAGCATCGCTTTAAAATAATTTCCAACGTTGTGGCATGCCTGTTGACCATCTGATTTGCCAAAAAATTTCCGATGCGGCGTGCACATGGCGAAACTTAATATAATAATAATAATATAATTCATGTGTGATGCAACCGTGACTCTCCGATCCAACTGCTATTAATGGCAAAAAAAATCGGCTGAGGGTATCTGCGCTTGGCTAAAGCTGCCTCAAAAATGGGGCGAAGGAATGTGACGAGGCGTCCTTTGCGCTTCGCGACAGAACAGGACAGAACCTTAGGTTGATCCAGCGTCACACCTAGGCACTATACTGCAACAGTAGCAGTCACTTTTGCTTCGCGACACAACAGGGTCGATCCAGCGCCACAGTTAATAAAAGCCCAGCTCCAGTAGGCATATTGCATCATTTGAATTTGATCCCTTACCTTGACGTTCCCGTGCAGCACGATGTCCGGTCAAGCAGGAAGCGAAGAGACTCGCCAGAGAACTGCCCTCGAGGAGTATGAGCAATCTAGCGAGGGCAGGCCCCCATTCATTCTAACATATGCCGAGATGAAACTCCTGGGTATTACTGGGGTGAGTGCTCTGAGTACTGTATCTGAATCTGTGTGAACTTATCTATCGTCCAGGTTGGCTTTTTCTTGGATGGTAGGCATCTAGCCCTGCTCTAATGCAAAGTCTCATATCTCTGTGTAACAGCTTATGACTTGTTCATCATCAATGTTAGTGCGTTATTTCATATGGCAGCGTATGAGACTAAATCGATCTGTGCAGCCCGTATCTACCATGTTGCAGTACAGGCTTTACCCAAATGGCACCATGCCCGCCAACCTGCAAGGATTATTGAAAGCCTCTGCCAATATCGGAAGTGTGATCGGCCAGTTTCTGTTTGGTGAGCTGCATAATACACCATGCTTTACCCCGCTTCATACTAAATTCCTATTTATATAGGATACTGTGCTGATGCTTTCGGGAGAAAGGCAATCTGTCAGCTCTTCACATTGTTCTCGCTAGCATCTACATTCATATGCGTTGACAGACGGAAAAGAGCTTATGCTCATCATCCTTGCGACTATCCTCTGCATTTCTACACCTACAGGTATGTCTTCCGATTCTTCATTCGTATTCGCGAGCGCTAAGCTATTGCCAAGGCACGCTCTCCCCGAACGGATCCCTAATTTACTTGACGATGTTCCGTATCTTACTTGGTGTCGGTGTCGGTGGCGACTACCCCATGTCCGCCTCTGTGACAAGTGACCGTGCAACAATCCGTAAGCGTGGAACCATGCTCGCATACATCTTCGCGAATCAAGGATGGGGCAGCTTCGTGGGGGCGCTGGTGACCATTATCGTTCTGGCATGCTACAAGCACGTCATGAATGATGAAGGTGAGACATCCAAGGTCGATGGAGGTGTGTATATCGTGTACTAGATGTACGATGTTGCTGATCGACGGTTTACCTCAGTGTGGAGGATCGTCATTGGATTATCGCTCATTCCGGCTTTCGGGACACTCTACCAGCGCTTGACCCTCCCAGAGTCTACGCGTTACAAGAAGTCGCAGGAGGCTGAACTGATTGAACAGGGCGATTTGAAGAAGGAGAAAATGGGGGTCGAAGTTGGTGTTCATACTACTGAATCTGAATCAAGCGTCGATGAGGGACCTTCTGTGCCTGCAGCAAAGAAGCCTCACTTTCTAGGTATGGTTCCTTGCGGTGTCGAATACCTTCCTTGGTCTCACGGATGTTTCAGAGGTCATCAAGTACTTCTCCGAATGGAGGCACCTGAAGATACTTATTGGAACTTGCTCATGCTGGTTCCTACTAGATGTTGCGTACGCCGGGTGCCGATCATCGGATAGGTTTCTTTCTGACTTGGTGTGCTAGTTTCTATGGGATCAACTTGAACACAAATGTGGTGCTTGCCGAGATAGGTTTCGCCGGCAAAACGGGCACGCCCTGGGAGAAACTCTTCAAGGTCGCCACGGGAAACATCATCATCACTGCACTAGGATTCGTGCCAGGTACACGTACAGTTTCACCTCTCTTGACATGATCACTCACTTCGAACAGGCTACTACGTGACTGTGCTCACCATTGAGAAGCTCGGCCGCAAGCCCATTCAACTCATGGGATTCTTGATGGAAGCTCTGTTCTGTGGGTCGTCACACATGCTCTAGAGGAACACCTACTGATAGCGTGCTGCAGTGGGCATCTTGGCTGGGAAATTCTATACCTTGAGCACTGCAGCGTTCATAGTAAACTTCACCCTGCTCCAGGTGCGTGACAGGGGTTTGATGGAAAATCCCGACTTACTCATATTCTATGAAGTTCTTTTTCAACTTCGGGGCCAATGCGTAAGTTTTTCGCTTAATTAGAACATACTTCACTCTGACCCAACTATTGTACAGCACTACCTACGTGCGTTGCCATGCACGTCACGTTTGCACACTGGACACAGCTAATACAACTCACAGTGTTATCCCGCCGAGGTGTTCCCCACCCGATACCGAGCGTTTGCCCACGGCGTGTCCGCGGCATGCGGGAAAACAGGAGCAATCATATCCGCTCTTGTGTTTAATTCTCTCACGGACTCGATTGGTACACCTGCTGTGCTTTGGAGTATGTCCTTGATTAACCAATATGTGACGGCAACTCAATTTTTTTCCATAGTTTTCGTCGGTTGTTCAATTCTCGGTGCCGGTATGGAGGGTCATAATTTCATTCTGCGACAATGTTAACTGACAAGCTAATTCGCAGCTTTCACTTTTCTTTTACCTGAGGTTGCTGGTCGTGACCCAGATGCGATCCTCGCACAGGAGCAGAGAGAACAGCAATAATCTCTGTATCATATTGCCAACACCAAGTACTCATTCTCCTGGTTTTTTTAGGAGTTGTCGCCCGCTGTATCCAAACTACATTCGGGGCTACTTCTCTCCCTATCTATCGACTATTACATGTATCAAACAAGCGGCGACATTTACCTGCTTCCAGCAGGAGAATTCATTTGCGAAAAGCGTTACTCGAAGTCAGCATCCATAGTTAGTACCTACTATGTTCCTGTTATGAAAATTCCACGTGAAAGATGTGTCATTTCCGTGAGGCAGTCGACCTGAAACGACTTGCGGACGATATACAAGGTGCTTATGCATCACGAGACGAGTCAACCAGGAATTTATGTAACGCCACTGGCAGATCGAGCAAATATCTGTTACTATCAGGGCTCAGCTCGGGAATTAATCCCAACGATGACCGGGAACCCAACTTGAAGTGTTCACGTACGAATTTATACTTGTGAGGGATATAACCTTGTGTTTCTTTGGAGGCCTGCCACGAAGTTCCGGACTGGGGTTCCAGTGAAATTCGTTGAACGAGGACGCCACGTTGAGTCGTTAGTAAAGGAAGCGTCAAGGACCCGCGTAGGCCAGAAATACAGAGTTTGGCTCTAGCTTGAGGATAGTAGTAGTACATGCTTATGAGACGGACATGCCCGGGAAGCACACACCCACGCTGACTAAGCCATCCTCACTTGTGCCCAACAATTTTGTCAACAGCAATAAATACATATTGTTCGGAAGGACTTGGTTCAGGATCGTCACCGCCGACGACAGCGACAGGCTCAATTATGCTCAAAGCCTCAAACTCGGTCGCTGGGATCCAGCGGCAAGCAAATATTTCAATCAAACGTAGTCTTGCAACTGTTGCTGACCCGCCTGTTCGCCGATACGGCGGTCTCAAAGACCAGGACCGCATCTTCACAAATGCATATTGTAGACATGACCATGGTATCAAGGGTGCCCTGGTGAGTCTAATGTCCTCATGCTATTCCGTATTCATTTGTCTTATTGTCTTTGATAGTCTCGTGGTGACTGGCACCGCACGAAAGACATTCTTTTGAAGGGTGACTCTTGGATCATTCAAACAATTAAGGATTCAGGGCTCAGAGGCCGAGGTGGTGCCGGATTTCCAAGTGGTCTCAAATGGTCATTCATGAACAAGCCTGATTGGCAAAAGGACAAACGGTATATATATTCTTGAATCATAGCGTTTCGTCCGGTTCGGTACTCACTTGTCATTTTTGTGCAGGCCCCGCTACCTAGTTGTCAATGCTGACGAGGGAGAACCGGGAACTTGTAAGGACCGCGAGATTCTTCGCGGTGACCCACATAAACTGGTGGAAGGCTGTCTGGTCGCCGGCCGTGCCATGAACGCAACCGCAGCCTACATATACATTCGTGGAGAATTCTTCCAGGAGGCCTCTCACCTTCAGCAAGCTATCACCGAGGCGTACAAAGGTGGACTCATCGGCAAAGATGCATGCGGCTCCGGTTACTCATTTGATGTATACCTCCATCGCGGAGCTGGTGCATACATTTGCGGCGAGGAAACTGCGTTGATCGAAAGTCTCGAGGGCAAGCAAGGAAAGCCCCGACTAAAACCACCTTTCCCTGCCGATGTTGGCTTGTTTGGATGCCCCACCACTGTTGCTAATGTTGAGACTGTTGCAGTGGCACCTACTATCTGCCGTCGTGGCGGATCTTGGTTCGCCAGCTTCGGCCGTGAGCGCAATCAGGGCACAAAACTCTTCTGCATTAGTGGTCATGTTAACAACCCTTGTGTTGTCGAAGAGGAGATGAGCATCCCGCTGAAAGACCTTATCGAGCGGCATTGCGGAGGTGTCAGAGGTGGCTGGGATAACCTACTTGGTATCATTCCCGGTGGAAGCTCCGTCCCAGTCCTGCCCATCGACAAGTGCTCGGAAGTTCTGATGGACTATGATTCTTTGAAGGACGCACAGTCGGGTCTTGGGACGGGTGCCGTCATCGTGATGGACAAGAGTACGGATATCGTATCTGCCATTGCGCGGTTCTCTTCAGTACGGGCTCCGTGTTTTGCCCATGCTTTTATGATGCTTAACTTTCCATCAGTTCTACAAACACGAGTCTTGTGGGCAGTGTACGCCCTGCCGGGAGGGCACGACATGGATGATGAACATGATGAATCGCATGGTGGAAGGCCGCGCTCACAGACGTGAGATTGATATGCTCCTTGAGCTCACGTAAGTTATCGCTGTACAGCTTTTCTCAACTCACTGTCCTCTGCAGTAAACAAGTAGAGGGCCGGACCATCTGTGCTCTCGGCGATGCTGCCGCCTGGCCCATTCAGGGCCTCATGCGCCATTTCCGCCCAGAAGTGGAGGCCCGTATCGATGCTTTCCGTGCTTCTCATGGTGGCGTGATGTTTGGTGGCCGAATGATACACGACGCGGATCCGACCCTTGCGATACCTGATAACCTGGGTGCTAACCTAGTCGAGCCTGGTGATAGAGTATGACCTGCGCTTGTTACTTAGCTCACTATGTCTATGCAATGTACCAAATGACCCCTCAACGTTCAACAGGGATGGGCCACATGCAACCACGATGTCATGTACAGACTTGAATTGCTGTGTTGCTGAGCTCTTAAAAATATGTAAGTACTACTGTTATGGCCATTCCATCATGTTGGCAAAAGTCTGGGCGGTGAATTAACTAACCTAAAACTAACCCTGATGTCAACTGTGATAATCGGCCTCCGAGGGATGGGCCGAATTGTTGATCAAGACAGCAGCGCTCAGCATTCACGGCTATAGGCTTTGTTCCAAAATGGGTATATTTTTAGGTTCATATTAATGTCTTGCAGTTTAAGATTTACATATATATTGGTCCAGGGACCAGGGTGTTCTGTCGCAACGCAAGGCACGGTCAAATCTAGGTTGGCGGCTGTGAGCCACGGCTCAGCCAATTCGTGCAAAAAGGTCAGGGTCGGAATTTTCGTTACAGGGGTCTTCAACCGATGATGGCTATAGCCTTGTCGGTAGAAATACGACGAGAAGAGACGACACTATCGCACACCTCGATTTTTCTTTCCGTTTCTGCCGATTATGGTGCTCCCATTGCAAGTCTCCAGTAATGGTTGGCAAATGATAGAAAGTAGGCGCATATGCTGGCTCGCAGACTTACAGCACCTCACCCCCCAAGAAAGTTGTAGCTTGCATATTTCACGGGAGTGCCATAGCCACTACAAGTTTTCGACTTGGATACCAGTTGTGTACATCCAAATTCTGGTGGGAAGACGCGTGGGCTGCAGTTGCTCTTGTGTTTGATATCATCTGCCTATTCGGAGTATGGGGTGAAGGGCCAGCTTGTGCGTGGCATTCTGAAAAGCGGTAACACGAGCTGAGCTAAATTTACTCCAGTTGACGACAATCCTCGCATTTATACCGCCATGTTCTGGTTACTCCCAATCACTTTCACCTCTGTTTTATGGTGCGTAGTTGAGTTGTGCATATTCTTTTCCGTCCCTCATGTTACTAGGGCGGCGAGAATAAGCACCATATATCCCATTTTGCGCATCGCAAACCCGCGAGGTGCACTTCGACGAACCGTGTATGCCATCATAAGCTCCTTGGGGGTAATGTGGACAGCCTTGATTGTTGAGAAGGTGCTCTCTTGCGTGTGTCATGGGTGCCACATCGGATCCGACATCGCTATTGCAGATCTCATTAGTGAGTAATTTTTCCTATGGCGTTCTTTCTATTACCAATATGTTCCTTTCAAGCCGATGTGATATCTGACCTAATGTTGGTCATCACACCTTTGTATCTCTTACGAGATGTCAGGCTCACCCGCCATCAACGAATTCTTATCACTTCGGTCTTTTGCGCGTCCATGTTGAATACCGTCGTATCAATTCCGACTTCCATTCTCCTTTTACTGGCTCAGAGGTCGAAGGCTACACTGATATTTGCGCATGTCAAGGTGTGCACTTACTTTTACTTCTTCACTTCAGCTGATCGCGAGATACCTCAATGATAGCCAACAACTTCGCTAGTAATTGCAAATTTACTTGTTATAGTTTCCTTTCTGTACCGCCACCTGCGCAACTCCACAGAAGATCTAGACCAGCCAGCGACAACCAGAACTGTGGAATTTTCAACTGTCGTTGACCTAGACCAACCCACGGTGGACAAGAACCGGAGCATTGCGCAGACCTCATCTATACCGATATGCACTACGGTTTCCACCCAGGCACATTCTACCTGTCAAGGGGCTGGACAACTTGGTGAATCACCAAATGATTCATCGCTCTAGTAGTGAGGTCGGTAAACTTCCCCATTGGAGCGGGTTCAAATGTCTAATACCCATCCCTGCGTCCTTTGATTTACCAAGTCTAGGAGTATCACGATGAACCTGCGGCGATCGATCTATATGACCCTGCAGATATTTTTCTCCTTGTATCGTAGATTGTAAGTAGAGTTTTGGACCAACCTTGAACCCAGATGAGTCAAATGTCAGCTGATAAGGCATTTTTATTTTACCGAAGTAGATACATTTGTGAATAGGTCGGAATTGTTTTGGTTGGTTTATATAGGCGTCCGAGTGGGGCAACTTTTTATAGGAGTATACAAGACAATCGGCTCGCCTAAAATTAATTTCACTGCCTGAGGGAACAAAGAAAAATGTCCAGCCCTAACAAATCCAAGTATAGGGTATGTACGAAGTGAATGTAAATGGGGGTATGGCGTATGCCGGGACAACACTGTAGGATTGAACAGGGAGGATAACAGAACGATGGAGATGTGTACGGGTGAACGATGCTACGATGTATAGGAGCGATGAATATAAGAGGATGTGCAGGTACCGAGGAATCTGAGGCGTACAAGCATCGTGGTGTTTTGCGATAATTTTGTGATGGCGCCAATGGACTGACCATAATCATGCCATGCCGATAGCAGGGAAGATCACGAAACTGAAGTACTTCCAGGTTTGTAGTTACCGCTGTAACTCGTACCCCTGGAGAACTTTGGGGTACCCGCGAGCGGTCTGACAACCGTGGAAGTTGCTGGAGGTGCATAGGAGGTATTAAACCTCCGCAGTTGTGGCGGCGGTGGCGGCGCAGACGCTCGCCATTTCTCTTCCCATGCGCGAAGACCAGCAATAAATCCAGGGTTGGGATTAATGCAGGGTCTGCGACGTTTGACTAGAGCATATGCTTGGTCATACGACATCCCGAGGTCATGGATGAGGTAAGCAATGACTATGGCTGGAGAGCGTGAGACACCCTGTTACAGGAGAACCACATCAGGCTTGACTCTAAATAAATTTCGATGGAAAGGGCATACCTGCTGGCAATGCACAAGAACATTCCCACCACTTTGCAATGCGTTAGCAATATACTGGCATGCCCCTTCAAGGTGCGGGCGAAGGTCAGCGGATGGTTTATCAAGAATGTCTATGCGGAGACACCGAAAGCCGTCCTTTTCTGATATCGGAAGCCAGGGGACATCGAGTACTTGTACAATATGAGTGATATGGTGTTTTGCGAGCAACTCGCGATCCATCGTTGCGGACATGGAACCGAGGTACAAAGACCCGGGCTTCGAGCTGGAGGCATGAGCCACGGATTGAATCGAAGGCACGGACTGGGATTCAAATTGAAACGGAAGAATCTGGTGCATGGGTGTGCAGATTGCCTCCATGACGTCTGGAGACATGCCCTCAAAGCGGATCATAATTTGGCAGTACGACGGGGGAAATCAGTCAGAAAGTGATGCTGTCGATATCGAAGAGCAAATGAGATATGATCGCGGTTCGGATGAAGATCTATATTACAGGCTACACTTGGGCGGAATGTATAGACGATTGTCAGTGGAGCAATATTAGGAGAGTGGAGCTGCATTAATACCAGGATTTGAAGCCTGCCTCATCGATGCGGTTTCCTATTTTGGAGTCCGAGTTGTCTTTTGTCTAATCTCGCTTCCGTCAATTCAATTCAGTAGTCGTCCACAGTCTGGACCACAGAAGGAACAATGAACTCGATTAGATGGTTGATCACATCAAGCTTTTCTCAAAAAGGTACACTCGACGTACCTGGACCTTAATCATGATCACGTATCATCACACTCATGCAGTGTTGCCATCGAATCGAGGCCACCTCGAAACCTTGATGTGGTTCAAGCAGTTCAAACATATTTCTACAACTCATATGCTGCTTTAGTGCCGCGGGGCGGGCCCCTGGAACTTCATCAACAACTTCTCTCCGCGAATGGCCTCGAGGCTGCTTGAGGCTGAACAACTTGAGGCTGGATACTCTTAAGGTTCCCGCTTACCGGCTTGTCGGTTAACACCTTACCACGAGTTCGAAATCTGGACCGGAACTGCGTTGTTCTCCTTCCGGTATATTAATGGGCTCGGAAGCTGAAGCGCGATAGCTCCTGAACCGTATCAAAGCCCTGTGAATTTGCAACATTCGAAGATCAGCACGAGGCCGTTGTTCCAACGAATTATATGGCAATTGCTATGCCTTTACTTCGCCTATTGGTATATCAGTACTTGAAGCCGATCTGATAGCGCATGTGCACCATTGTTCATTGTTCCTGAACTGTTTGATCATGATCACGCCGGCCCCTTATGATATGGGGCATACTATCTTCGGACTTCCCCTCATCTATTTACTAGATCCCGAGTATCGCCGCCAAGCGCCTATCACGGATACTAAGGTTTGTTTCTGATAACTTGAACATCCTGGAATTAGAGGGGACGAACTTGCCAGAAAGCTTGAGATGTTGATAAACCGTCTTGATTTTTATCGATCCGGCTGCCGTAGCCGCATTGAACGAGGTCCGCTGCAGTGGTTCAAGTACCATTCTCATACGAAATTGTCCTTGTTGATCACTTCGAATTCTCTGATTTGCTTAGCTATTGTACTGAATGACAGAAATCCATTTTCAAGTTGCTGTTGGTTCTTCACATACCACGGGTGCCCCGCTTTTAGGAGACCAATCCCACTCGATCAACAATTTACATATAACTTCACCTCATCGGATCTCTAACTGCAAATGCTTCTCGACAGCATAGGCACGTCTCGGGTTTTCTTTCTAGCCCAGTGGCGGCGCCTCTGAAATGTCATGCATTTGAATAAGTGATCCGGCGGATGCGTATCTCACTTGTTTGTGTGCGCATAGCACATATTTTTGTGTCCGGCAGGAGCTTCCTAGCTTATCCATCCATACTGTCCAGCACATGTGTATTGGACAGCGCAGTATGCAAACGGCGCACTTCAGCCGATATTTGTTGTTGGTTCCTTCAGGCGACGAAGCCTGCACGCTTGCACAACCCGGCTTGCCTATTATACTTGTATGTCAGCACAACTCCCACAGCTCACTTGATTGAATATGATTAGTCACACCAATGACCAGATAGAATGCAGGGAAACGGCGCAGGAAATTTGGAGAATGGTAGTTAGACAGCTAACCTAATATTAACCTTGGTATGACACGATTAGAAATCGGTTCCTCAATGCCACGGTTACCCCCGGCAGTTGCAACAAGCTCGTTGTGCATGTGTAGCCCGTAAGGCGCGTATTGGGATTGTACGAGGATACAGGGCACGGTCTGGAAACAGGACATCAAGAATACGCACTATTTTATAAGTGTACCTCTCCTAGTCAAGCATGCGAATGCACGGACACAACAAAATTAAGATTCATATCGGAGAAGGCGAACCTCGTACACTTTAGCTTGTGCATCGAGAATGTGCTGTTTCAGTTCTGCGTCACATCATCAACCATAGTAAGGGCTTGTAGAGTTGGACTTCCTTGACGTCGTCTAGAGAGCAAAGACCTCATCAAGGGAAAGCCCGATGCGTAATTCACAATACCTTCACAGTTCAACTTGGCACTTCCGTATTCCTGGAACATCGGAGACAAGGGCCATTGTAGACACGTGACTCAAACTCGAAGCGGATTAACAGGTAGAAGCGTGGATATAGAACGTACTACCAAAGGTCCATGCAATCCTACTTGAATTCATTCAAAACTGAAGAGCAAAGAGACATCAATGCAGAGTCAAATACTGACAAGGTCGCACACGTGTCCGGTCACGCAAAAAATAGAGCGAGGGAAAGGACAGATCATGAAGATTGCTAATAACAACTAGTCGTGAAGGGTATGGACTCTTGACAGGGGCAAGGGTGTAGTCAGAGAAGCGGCGGGGTGCGGCGAGGTGGAAAGTAAGACAAAATAGTCTACACAACCACGCAGTGGTGTTTCTTGCTATTCTTGGGCCGACTAAGAAGTGCAGCCCTCGTAGCATATTGGAAGACTTCCCGGACGCCCTCGCCTGTTCTAGCAGAGCACTCGAGATAGTGCCTTGCGCCGATCTTGTTCGCTACTGCCATACCCTGAAAAGGTGGACATATCATCCAAAGAAATCTGCAAGGCAGGAAACAAAAACGTACCTCCTCAGGAGTTACAGGTCTCTGGCTCGTCTTCTTAAGCTCGTCAATCACTCGTCGGTCACGTCTGAGGTCGTTCTTGCAGCCAACAAGAATGATGGGAAGACCGGCGCAGAAATGCATCACCTCAGAAATCCACTAGTTTCGGGAGATGCCGTCAGGACCGAATGAGGCATTGCTCATTCGCCAGACGTACCTTTTCTTGAACATTGTCCAGAGAGTCTGGTGAGTCAACAGCAAAGCAGATAAGAATGACATGGGTGTCTGGGTAACTGAGAGGTCTGAGACGGTCATAGTCTTCTTGCCCTGCCGTATCCCATAGCGCAAGCTCGACGTGCTTTCCATCAACCTCCACATCTGCCACATAGTTCTCAAAAACGGTCGGAACATAGACCTATGTGCACACGAATGAAGCGAATAGTTAGACAAACAGGCGGCTGACGATACTAATGGAAAATACCTCAGGGAATGTTCCTTTAGAGAAAACTATCAACAAACATGTCTGTTAATGATATGAGCTCGTTCCTTGTTTTGTTGCGTGCAAGTTAAGGGGCGTACCTTTCCACAAGCACCATCACCGACGATAACAAGCTTCCTCCTGATTTCAGCCATTATTCGAACGTAGAAAGTAGGATTGCGTGGATGTACGGGCGCTCCTTTAGGATGATGGTGTTCAGCGAGACAAGAGTCGCACGATGATACAAGTCGGTCTTTTAATCGCTCTTTCAATGGCCACACAATGGGCTGTGCCACAGGTGTAGGCCTGTGCGTGAGACCTAACTTCTTTTCTGGGTAGCCCTTCGTCGTCGCAAGCCACAGCATTACTGGTACTTAAAGTATCTATCATACCGTAGCGACAGTCTAGGCCCTTCCAAGCCTCGGCTGTGAGTATAAAAACGCAATTTGGGCACCACATGTCATACGCCGAATTTATGACGCCAACGAACAGCACCCGCAACTCACGTATTCGCCTTCGGGTCCGTAACTTCCCATCTTGCATATCTGTATCTCATCAACGTTCCAAGTACCAAAGTCCACTTTCACGGGGTCCCGAAAATCATGTGATTCTAGCGGTGTACGAACAAACTCGCGAATAAACGGCGACGTCAAGATTGCGTTATAGGAGAACGGCTGTCGATATGGTTTGCGATGCGAAGTATTGAGAATTGTGCAATGCAACTAATTCCGCGATGGCCACTAAGTTAGATTAATCGGAAGTAAAAGATGCGAACCTTGAGAGGACGACGATCCTGAATAAACCCGGCGTCACTAAATGCCTTGTTCACAAATTCTATTAGAGCATTGATATGCGAATGTAATTAGTATGGGACGAAAATCGACGCACCGCTAACAGATTTGAGGCGCTGCGCGTCTTCTGTGTCCAGCGAAGGGCCCAACCAGAGTACATGCGCGTTGTCTGTATTGCCACGATCGGGGTTCATGATGTTCATCTCCGTAAGAGGGATGCAGAGACTATGTCCATTCAATAACTCCATGACGCGAGCTCTCAATGTCCGTAACAATGCCTGTGCATCTGCTAAAGTTCTTCCCGAGGAAGCCAGTGAATTTTCAAGAGTCATCACTCCTAGTGTCAAATGAAGGCGACGAGGTGCAATAACAATACCGCGATCAACGCCAGGGAGCGCAGGCTTACAATTAAGCAAGCCATCTGTGAACGACTTCACTGATTCCTGCAATTGCACGTGGTGTCCCTAGTTCTACGTTGGCGTGAAATTTTTATTATCAAAAGATCGGTACTGACGATGGGCAAGGATATGACTTGGAGATTACGCATTGAGCATGTATATTGCATTCAAAAGTCGAAACCCACGGACAATGTGTAGGTCGCAATTTAGAATTACGGTCTGTTCCAGAGGAAAATCGACCACGGCTAGAAGTCGAGGTGCTTGCCCTAGCAGTGTATTTTGTAGCCATGCTTTATAGCAGGAATTCGATGGCGACCTAGTAGGTGGGGAAACTAACCCTAGGGATGGCCGCCGAGTCAGAATCAAAACTCAAACCGGAAAATTCCGAATCACCAACCTGCAATGACTCAAGAAATCAATTATTGCAAAGACATGATCAGACTGGCGAGCCACTTTACCGCCATTGAAAAACCGTTGATAGAATCAGACCAACAAGTACGTAACTTCAGGACGTACTTGCCTCCTAACGGTCTGTTGACGGCAGACTTTTGATCAACGGTGCTACTACCAGGGCAGTGACCACAACGATAAGAACTGTATTCAGTCAAAGTCTTATCGATGAGACCTTGACTGAACGCAGTATTTTTACGTCGTGTTCTCGATCATGACCATTATCATGCGTGTATGTCACAAACCAATCCTTTTATAACTTGCAGGCTAGCCCCTGCTCTCAACGTGTTGGAGATCTATCACCAACTCTTCTCCCAGTCGTTCCTGTGGTACCGCCATGAGTCAGTCATTCTTCGTACAAAATATCTAATGTGGAACCGTGGAAAGCAGGATATGAAGGTGAGCGCAGCTTGTAATCTCCGACTGCTCTATTTTAAATGGAGCCGAGTCGTGGCTTCTAGGGAGACTTTGACAACGTTGCGATGTCCTTATCGACTTTGCGGATTGGTGGGGAGCTATTTGGATAAATATTTTATCATCTGATATAGAGGTGCGTGTGTGCGGCTTCTTAAACCAATAGCTGATAAGTTACAAACCCTGACTTTGGTTCTAGGCGTGGAGCAGTCGTAGTTCCCGCAAATTACCAGAAACCGACTTCTTAGCTTGGCGACAATTTGGTGTGTGATGGCATGCTGTTTCGCGGTAAACGCGCTGCTAGATATCCATGGACTTTCAGCACCACGCCAACGGCAAGGAGTTGCAGTGTACTCAATCAACAAGTAGGGCATAATCATTTGCAGTAATTTTTAGCGCTGTGCAAAGTATCAACGTTATCAACCCGTACAGGCATCAATGCATCAAGATCGGGCTCCATGTATTTATCTGCCCCATCAGGGAACTCTCGACAAATGCTGTTCAGGTACAGCTTCAAGCCTGGATCCACCTCAATTTTACGTCGAAATAGGACATAATCGTGATAAGGATGAGAGGATATGGAGCACGGCGTGCACCTTTGATACTACGCTGCGCAGTGCATTGGCCACACCCAAATTTATACTTGCTGGTGGTATAAGGCTGCTACATCGGTTATTAGCATATATTGAAACGAACTCAAAATATTAAAGATAGTCGCGGGGTAAGGGTCGCTGATAGCAGCTGGTACTCTGGTTCAGTGATAGTCGCCGATCATCGACCTCTTCGCAGCTTCGCGATGCGGCTTCTTGCTCTAGACATCGTTGCTCTACTTCAGCTGTCACTGTCAGTCATCCGTCTTCTGCAACATTACGAATGCTGCTACACGAATGTCACGGGTTTGATAGCAAGTTTCTCATCGTAGGTCGTCCACAGGCTGCATCGGATTGTCCTATTCCTTACGGGAAGTAGGGAAAGTTCATGAAGGTCTTCTGTTCGCGCCAGGTTCGATCCTTCGGTAGTGCCTGACCTACATAATTATAATAGAGTGAGAACCGTGGTGAGTGTAGACAAAGGTGCGATGCCTGTGCAATGCCCGTAACACGTCCGCTGGCCCTGCATTTGACAACTTGACACTTCGTGTTTAGGCTTCAAAAGCCCGTGGAGGTGTGCGAATAAAGTGCCTAAAGAAGATTATGCAGGGTCGCTGCAGCGCTGCCGAGCGCGTCGGGCGGGACGGCGAGCGCGCCCGTGAAAACAAGGATACCCTCTTAACGATCTTAACACTGTCTTGACACGATATCATTAATAATAGTAAGTCTGGATTTTGGTTGCGGTATGTTCAAAACTGACTTTTGGGCGTCTTTCCTGACATGTTGTAATACAATTGACGGAACTTTTTATGTACAGCGCTCGAGTGACATCTGGAATCACTAGCATCGCCTCGTTCTTTACCACCTCGTTCTGTCGTCCCCGCAAGTTACTCCCCGCGGTCTCATTCATTCCCCTTCGTGCTGTCTTGAGCCTACCTCTCAGTTAAGGACGACTATCAAGCGCATCTACCGGTACTACCAAGCTTGCATGTCCTCATCGGCTTTCGTCTAGACGTTCAAAACCTCATCCAGGCCTTCCTTTTATCCCCTCCCTCTCTGTAAGTCCACTGTATTTCGTGGCTCATGTTCCCTATAACCCCTGACCTTTCAGACCGCTGTTTCTATCCTCTTAGTGAACGATGGCACTACTCAAAAGCGCCCGTGTATCTTCCAGGGCGGAAGGCAAGCAACGTGCTCGAGACGAGGGTACCGGTGGTGCTAGTGGCATGGTGTTAAACCTCGAGATGGTGACCACTAGCTATGATTCAGTGTGAGTCTTTGAATTATTCTATCCGGAGTTCGGCTCTGCCTTTCGAACGGTCAAAAAATTTACCTTCTGATTTCGTTTTGGGTCCTGCATTTTTTCACCATGCTCATCGCTTGAATATAGTGCCTATACCGTGCCCGTGTCAGTAGGCTCAGCTCAGCAAAACCTTTCCCTTCAGGTTGATACAGGCTCGTCGGACCTTGTAAGTCGTGCCTTCCTTGGCTACACAGCCTTTCTAATTACTAAAAATACAGTGGATCGCATCAAAATCGTGTTCCACTGCGTCGTGTTCATCCACGAGTGGTCGCCTATACGATCCGACCTCTTCGACGCCAACTAACGTTAGTTTTACCATCAATTACCTCTCCGGAACCGTCAGCGGGCCCATAGTATGGGACACAGTCCAGCTTGGAACATACAGTGTACAGGACCAAGCGCTGGGTTTGTTTTCTGTCACTTTTTTGTATTACATCATGCTTATCAATGTTTACAGCCGCTGCTAACACGGTATCTGATGAACCCCTTAGCTTAGATTTCGACGGCATCCTTGGTCTCGCTCTTCCTGTCAATTCGGTCATCGAACAAGCAATCCCCCCGGCTACGAACAATAACCCAGATGGCGCACCGTTTTCCTCGAATCTGTTCTCCATGACTCCTGCCTCTACGGCTCCCTCACAACCGTTCTTCTCCCTCACTCTCGCCCGTCCTGGTTCGGATGCAATTCCATCACTTCTCGGAATAGGTATGCATCCTTCGTCTGTCGTTCCAGATCCTTCGAAAATCAAGTATTCGACGCTTGTGAGCCAGGACGCTGGCATATTGTTCTGGAAAACGAATGTTCGGGCCATCGCGGTCTACGTAAGTGGCCAGGCACGTCCTGTAGTACTAGCCGAGTCTGTGACTGGCGCTGCCTTCCCCACTGCGCTGCTCGACTCTGGGGTGCCATTTATCGTCACGACATCGTCTATCGCAAACGGAATATATGGTGCACTGGGCATAAGCCCAGCCTCGGACGGTAATTGTGCGTATTTTATTCACTTCAGCTCGTACTTCATGAGTTGATTGTCTGTTAGACTATGTCCCTTGTACAACGCCACTCAACATGACCATTACTCTTGATGGCCAACCCGAACTACCCATCCATCCCCTCGACCTCACCAGCGAGCCGTCTGGGCAGCAGAACTCCCAGTACTGCGTCGGCCTTATACAAGCTGACGACTCACAACTTACCGCCACTTCCGACATCGGGGATATGGTCCTCGGCGTTCCTTTCATGCGCAACGTCTATACCGTGCTTGCATACGAACCCTCACCCTTTAACATGTCTGTATACACTGGAATCCGCCCAACACTCGGACTCATGGGACTCACGAATATAACTCAAGCGCTTGATGAGTTCAACAACGTGCGCGTCCTTAACCAGCCGCTCGACGGCTCACCGTCACAACAGGCTGTTTCTTCAAACGATACGAAGATGTCGGTGGGCCTCGAAGTTCTTATTGGTCTAATCGGCTTCTTCGCGCTATGCGTGACACTTTTCGGGTTGAAATGGTTTATGACGCGGCGGCAGTGGAAGAAACAGGGAATGGTTGACACGGATGGAGGGAAGAAAGGCGAAGGCGAATATAGGGCCTACCAGCTTACGAGGCGGAATTCACAGTCAAGCGATGATGCTCCTCCCGCCAGTACCCTCAGGACGCTTGCGTACAACTCATACACGACGAGGAAAGAGAAAGTGTCCGAGTATACTTTCGACTCGAACGGGACCCGTGTTGAGCTAGATCCAGCCAAAGAGTTTGGAGAATGGAAATACGATCACTCGCCTCCGTCGATATTCGACCTGAGCGATCCTTGGGATCCTTATGCTGCGAATCGAGATACGATTGTAGGCACTGATGCGCCCTTGCCCGATTCTCCCACTTCCCCCGATTTTTTGACCACGAATCATCGACGGACGTCGGATGAAATCAGTGGCGCGCCGGGAAGCACATACACTCCCTTACTCACAGACCAACATCACCGAAGAAGCAGCTCGCAGAGCAGTGATAGCGACGTTGCGGAGGCTGGTGTAGGTATGGCAGGCGTTGGCACCGTTGCCCGTGGGAGCCAAAATATTACTGGTTTGGATCATAGCCTACCTCGGAGCGACAGCCCTGACAGGAACTCGTTGGGTTCGCGTAATGAAGTCATCACTCCCTCATGGCGATTTCCGACATCACACGAGCATCCTGATACTGTTGATGTCGTTGACATTCATTGACGCACCTGGATGTGGACTTGATTGAGAGCATTGCTGCCTCCCGCCCCACTCGGAATAACCATGTGGATCCATTCTCATACGGATATAACTCATCCGTCTCACGTCCATATCATCTCATTTCATCTCACACACATCTCTACCTACCAACGCTCTTTGATATCTGGATATATGTGGTATACTGGTGTATGATTGTTCATCTGGACTTTTTATATATAGGGTCATTACTTGGACTGTCGTACATGTTCGTTTAAGTATAATACAGTCAAGCCAACCGGTGCAGATCTAGTGGATACTTGTACATCATTTGTATGTGGAATGAATGTACCACAACAATCTTCATACTACATTTGATACAGTGCCAAAACCTTAAACCACCTCAGCAAACCATTCATAACGCCCACATTCACCAAGAAACCACGGCTCAACTCTAAACATCATAAACCTAGTGGTACATTGCATAGCATTAAGGTCTCGCTGAAGACAAATAAATAAACAAATCAGTGGGAGCGCTACAATCTTGAGAGTCGAAGCATACGCAGGCGATGTTGCAAAATGACCTCGAGAATTGTTTTGATTAATTCTGCTTTCCTTTGAGAGCGTTCAAAAGGTAGCAATGCCCTCCAAATAGAGGGGTTTCCTTGATATGCGCGGACGGCAATGCTCACAGCTTCCCTGACGGCAGCTGCATGCGGAGACGCCATGTATCGCTGGAGAGCAACACGGACAGGGTGAACGGACCGAAGATAGCGTTGCCGGTAGAACAGATAGAAAGAGTGCTCGAAAATAATGACAGCAGCTACGTGATTGATAATGAGTAAGTGTCATTGCAACATTGCCTCGAAAATCACCAGAACTGAATTGCACGATGTTTTCCAACGGCGACAAGCCGGGGGCCTGGCACATTTTCAACATGAGAATTATGTGTAGTCTGATCATCTGGACATACCATAGAGAGTATCCTAGACCGTATCTCTGCACAATGATAACCATAAAGCTGGTGGATTCATGGAAAGTTGAAAATAGTCCACCTCTGCTCAAAATCGATACTCACATTCTGTCAATAAGCAACACCTTTGGTCAGCATAGGTTGAGATCGACCGAGAATGAATAAACTCACGTTCTACCAACAGATCAGCGATGTCATTAATGAGCAAGACTCCAGGAGCAGAACACTCACAGTCTGTTAACGGATGTGTAATGTGAGTGGTGAGTACAACTCGAGCTCGACGGAGGATTAACACACTGACTTCCTGTTGTTAGTGAGCAAGGCTCAGGCTCGAATGAGGATGAAGATACTCACCATCTGTCAACGGATGAGTGATGACGTCAGTCAGCAAGGGTCGAGCTCGGCGGCAGATGAAAACACTCACAGACTGTGAATGGGGATTGGAAATATCCTCTATCAACAATGCTCGAGCTCGACAGACGATGAATACTCTCACCTCCTGTGAACGGATAGGTGATGTCTTCAATCAGCATGAGTCGAGCTCGACGAATTAACCCACTCACAATCTGACATGTCAATGGATCAGCAACTGTGAGCATCGACAGGGAAAGAACACACTCACACCCTAATAGCATGACAGCAATTGCTTCAGTGAGCAAGGTAAGAGGTCAGCAGAGGATGAACACACTTACAAGCTGTCAATAGATCAGTAATTCCTCCAGTTAGCATGGCTCAAGGATGGTGGAGGATGAATGCGCTCACGTTCTGCCAACAAATCAGCAATTGCTTTCGGTGAGGAAGGCTCGAATTTAATGGAAGATCAATGCACTCACTCTCTGTCAACAGGCGGGCGATGACTGTAGTCAGCAAGGCTCGGGCTCCATAAATGATCAACACACTCACTCGCTATGAACAGAGCGGAAATATCATTATTGAGTAGTAAGGCACGCGGATAATGAGCGCACTCACAATCTGCCAAGAGACCGGTAAATTGTTCGGTCAGTAAGGCTCGAGCTCGACATACGATCAACAAACTCACGGCCTGTCAACAGGTTGTCAGTCTCGTCAATGAGTTGAAGACTCGACGTCGTCAGAGGATGGCCACACTCACATCCTGACAACACACCAGCCATGACTTTGATCAGCATGGCTCGAGCTCGGATGAGAACCAAACACACTCACAGTCTGTGACCATCGGGGAATGACCTCGATCAGCATAACTCGAGCCCGAAGGAGAATAAATACACTAACCCCCTGGGAACAGTGGGCAATGACTTCAATCAGCATGACTTGAGCTCGAGGGAGGCTCAACATACTTACATACTGAACAGTGGACAATGACTTCGATCAGCATGGCTCCAGCCCACAGGAGGATCACCAGACTCGCCTTCTATGAAGAGTGAGCGTTGGCTTCGATCAGCATAGCTCCAGCCTGAAGGAGGATAAACAGACTCACAGCCTGAACAGTATGCAATAGCCTGTATCAGTACGACTCGAGCTCAAAGGAGGACTAACGCACTCACCCACTGTCAATGGATAGGCGGTGTTTTCAATTAGCATTCCAGATCCGGCATCAACAGACGTACCGTCTGCGAGCAATGACTGAACATGAGCGAAAGCAATTTTGAACATTCGAATAATCTCACCCAAATATGTGGAAACCAGGCACCCAAGTTGCCTATTGATTCCTCGTGATATCCGACGTTGAATAAAATCTCAGATGAGATTGACTCAGCAGAATCAACAAGTCCCGCAAGTGTTCTGAACAATTTTGGTCGTTAGTGCTCAGGTCATTATAGGCAAATAAGATTTGAATAATTGCCTTTCGACTGCGTATTTTATGCACAACTCCAAGTTGGTCTGCTGAGTTGAGACGAACAACTGCTTGAGCACGTCGTTATCCAGAGTTTCAGCCGTTCGTTTCATGAGTGGTGCACAATCTGCATCATTCTTGTCCATGTCTAATGTTGAGTGTAAAACAACAGTCATTGTTTATCACAATTACAATTCAACTATTAACAACTTACTAGGGAGGCATACGTGACATCTTGGAGGCCATGTGATCTCCTTGGGGTTGTATAGGGTTTTTAATTGTGGCCCATTCGCAAATAACTCTTCAGCGTGCTTCGGTGCCAGTGCTTGAGCGTCTTCCCTCGATAGGAGTTCATCATCCTCTTTGAGCAGTGCGTATGAGACATCATACAAAGCATCAAATTTAGTAAATAATACTATCACTGGGACTGAGGGTTGTGAGTCAGTCGATCGACAATAGTCGAGTGCAAACACTTACTGCTCCCAGTATCGCACTGAGAGAAAAATTTGGTTTCACTTTCTGTGAAAGACCTACTCGACTCATCCATCGGGATACAGTACCTGTGTCAAAGTCAGCCAGCCCGTGATGCCAACTTGACCAGTTACCATATGGCGTGGATTCTATTCTTCAAATCGGTTTCCTTAGAACGGCCTGCGATAAAAGCCTTCACCTTGTCGAATTCAGAGTCACCGCCTGCCTCAAACCCACGTGAATCGTGAAAGACGAATCCTGGGTTGCTTCGAAACACCATTTCATTCTCGATGTCGTGCAATCCGCGCTGAGAATACGTTGAGTCATGTTGCCAACAAAAGCCAGCAGTGATAAGTAGAGTCACTATACGACTTGCCTTTCTAGATGGCATTAAAATGGCAGCACTAATCTGATGAGCAGACACTTATCACTAGGCTCTACCAGTCTAGTAGTACTAGTATGATGTTCCGCACCTTATTCCCAGCGCTGTTATATATTTCTGGTTTCTTCTGTGTGTTACAGACCCTCTGGAGGATGGTGGTTTTTCCTGCATTCGCTCTTCCTATGATGAGAATTCGGAAGCGATCGAATTTCTGTCTTAAGTTTGAAGAATTCATAGAGATTGGGAAGCGTCTCAGGGCTCAGTGTGTGTGGACTTATCGTTTGTAGTGACCGTGTGAAAGTTAACGCCTCATGCCTCAGATCCGGATAAATTAAAGTCACTGATAGGAGCTGGTGGGGCTGTGTCAGACCTCTTGTGACCTCCCTGGTTAACGGATCAATTTACAGAGGGAAAGGACCTCTATCACCGTTCGGTAAGTGAACACATTTTTCCTGATCGAAATGCTGAGGTTGTCGCCACGTGCCGCGTACTGTCAACGTCATGAATAGTGGTTCTTGGCGTCCATCTGATGTCGCCAATGACATACGCGCAGCTACACGTCACCCTTAGCTTCATCACCAGGCTAACGTGAGTGACATCAACCTCCCCAGTTAACTTCAACACGTCTTGCAACTTCCACAGTCGTTGAGAAACAACTTCTCCACGGCCTTTCATTTCTTACAACCTACGGGAACCGCCGCTAATGGGTGTCGGACGTCGACCAGGTTGACGTTTACCGTCGAGTGCAGAAGTCCTTGGGACAGTGCACACATAAAACAGGTTCGTACCTTTCTGACGAAGTTCACGGGGTCCAACCTTTACTAAACAATGTTAGCGCAATTGTAAGTACTTAATATGGTTTCTGACAAATAACATATATATTTCGGAGGTAGCGCTTAGCCTGCACTCTAGATCGTTAGTGTGCGGGGACTATTCTCCCTAACTAGAGGTCACAATGGCCAACTTTCTCCATACCTCATCTGTTCCCCGTCCGCTCCACATCTCTGGTGATCAACTCTCGCGTCGGCTGAATGATCAATCCAACTGAATACTTATATCACATAGGTGTCTCCGTCGATTTCAGCAGGTCGGGAAAGAATGCCGAGATTGCTGAAGTACGAATTGGCAACTTGCACATCTCAATTGAACACGAAACGGGAAAAACTTTGCGACAGACATTTTCTCCACCCATGTAAGGGCTTGACCCAGACGAATGTGCCCGTCTGAATCAGTGTCGTTGTAGGGAGATTTCTCTTGGGGACTCGTTTTCCCTACATCTACAGCATAAGAGTCTGTTTGGAATGAAGACCGAGCATGAAGACATTCATTTCGATATCGAAGATATCCTCCGTATGTCTAGTGCAAGAGGAGAACCCAACAAACGAGGTTAAGGAATAATCATTCATATCGTTCTCACCATACTTACAGACTCGCCACATGCACAGAATATATCAAGTTTCATAAAAAATTCAAGATCGTCATCGAGCTTTCCAGAGCTACAACAACGAAAGTAAGAATCTACATCTTGCATCAGAGCTCGTCTCAGTCGTAGATAGCGAGCTGAGCAACTTGTCTCGTCTTCGGGTAAAAAACTGGAGCTCCAGTCAACTACTGACGAAATCATTCAGATTTGTCCTCGGTGAGTTAGGATAACCATCAGGCGCTATCATTTGATCGACACTAAAGGCGCATGGAGTTTCCGAATCTTGGTAATAGGAAAGGTATCATATCCTCATGGGTCTCACGTCTGTGTTGACAACGTGCTTCAAATAGACCGGTGTCGGAAAGTCTTCACTGATCAATCAGGCATTCGGAGTAGAAGAAGCTGTGAGCTGCTCGCGACACTAAAATACTTGATTTACTGATGCTGTTGCCGTAGCTTACCTCACATGACCGGCCGGGCGACGCCAACATCAATACCGAGTTTATCTCAGAACAGAACGATAGGTTTGCTCTCCATGACAGCAAAGGTTTTGAACCGGGGGAAGAAGACAACGTCAAAATCGTCCAAGATTTTATTCAACATCGGAGATTTGAGCCTGCTTTGAAAGATCAACTGCATGCTGTTTGGTAGGGTCTCTGTCCTGATGTGTCTGTATAACAAACTGACAACAAATACGGAAGGCTTTGCTTTGAAATACCCCGTGCTGGCGGGCGTTTACTGGAGACTGGCACAGAGACGTTTCTCACACTGAAGCGTGATGGAAAGCTAGGAAACAGTACGTTGATCGATGTCTATCATTTTGCACAGGTGGAACCCACCCTTTTGTCAAAGTACCAGTGGTCGTCGTTCTCACCAAATACGATATGCTCCTCGACCGCGTGGAGCGTACTCTGGATAACTCCTCTCTCAAAAGGTTGAGGGAGGACGCCCTCAAGAAACTTGTCAAGAAAAAAGCAGATGCTGAGCTGAAAGATATTTGCATCCGACCCCTACAGAAATTTGCCGGGCGTCATATACCCCACGCTGCAATATCTAGTGGGTACCAATAATCTGATCCATACACGCGCGCCTCTGAAATATATGATGTCAGCCAAAGGACGACATAAGGAAACACTGGCCCCTCTGATCCAGATGACCGAAAACCTTGTCCGTCAGCACTTTGCGCCCGAGGCCTCGGTGATGACCTCCATCGCCCAGCGAGTAGACCCCAGACTCAAAATAAATGCATCAATTGAGTAGGCCTTACTTGCTTTGTTCTTAGCTTGTTATTTACGAATCGAAATCGGCAGGGTCGGCAAGAGAAGTCTGTTTCGATTCGATGTTGGTAGTCCCTGAGCACAATCTGAGCCATCATATGTTACAGGATATTGGAAAGTGTTGGTATCAAGCGCAGCATTCAAGAACTGTGTGGTACAGGACTGTCTGAATGTGCTTCACACTGACATCGTTGCTGTGTGGAACTTCCACGACCCTCATTGTGTAATAGTCGTTTCTTTGTTGCCATCCTATCCTCACATGAGTTACACACAGCACTTGCACAGCAAAGAGTTCAGGACATTGATCGTGAACATGGTCGATAAGCTAGATGATGAACCAGCCAATCCTGCCCAGACCATGTAGGCCGGTCTGTTGAGTGACGGATGAAAATTTATCTCATTGAATCTCCACAGTGCTATTGGGCTCCCCATCGTGGGTACTATTGCAGGCATTATGTCTGCGCTGGCGGGACCTGCGGCTCCCATCGTGGTACCGATCGCAGCAAGTGTTGTTCTTGCCTTATGGGTTCGCGATGTGTACCAGACGTCGTGCGTACTGCTACTTGTCCTTGAGCTAAAGAATACTGAGACTCTCTAGCCATGTGGTGCTTAGGCGCTTCATGTGCTACCTCATCGACTTAACCCTGGTGTTGCAAACACTTTATCTCGTGTCAGAAAGCCATGAACTATCTCGCAGGGCTATCAAGCTTGCCGTCGCTTCTTACCTTGCCTCACCAATGAGCGGAGAAGTTCACACCAAGATTCAGGAGTATGATAGGGGATTGACGTTCCTTGAACATGCAGATCGCAACACATTGGATAAAATAATCGAGCTGATGCAATTCTATAGCATCGGTGCAGAAAGAATTTCCGAACTTCAGGCACAGATTCCAGCTGTGGGTTTGTTTTTGGATGAACCATGGGAAGTCAAGAAGCTGTAGCATTATTAGAATTTTTGTAAATGAGTTCGGTACAAGAATTGGTTAGTCTGGCCATAACTTCACCCTTATCTTTCTGTTCAAGCGTTTATAGTAGTAATGCAGACGTCCACAATGCTTAGAGGCTCGTAGACAGTCATGGTACATGGCATAGAAGAAAGGTTGTGGATTCTGCTCATGTTGCACTTAATAATTATAGATAACTTCTGTCACGAGGTTGACTTGGGCGCCGTTCCAACCTGTGTTGGGTCAATAAACCACATGGTGTTATTGATGGGTCGAGGCTGAACATTGCACCACGCACTGGAAACTGCAGGAAGAATACTTCGAAGATCGCATGGTTGGGCACCTGAAATCATCTGCAGTGTTCAAACATTCCGCACAAGTCACTACTTTCTTGATTTGATTTCATCAACAACCTTTACCAATTGGTATCCCTGGATACACATTGTATTTCTACTGGAATTCAGGCTGAAACACTTATTTTGATTGATCAGATATCATCTTTCAATTTACACTTTGCCAGTGTAAGCACTGGCTTGCAGTATTTCAAGCATGAATGCAATATCTATCCTATCCTATCCTATTTTTTTTTGGGGGGGAGAATGGGCCCTCCTTATATACATTTTGTGTGGGAATATTATGTAAGTAAAAAAGCGGAGCAATGACATCAGAAGTGGAGCAGAACATTCTAGCAAGTGGAGCAGAGCATCCAGAACAAATGACATCATGACATCATTATGACATCATACCCTGTAGGTACAATTTTGTGAAGTATCTGATGGGTCAGAGCATCCCAATAGAAAAATAAATCAAGGAAATACTAGAGAAAACAACTCAGAAATAATAATACAATAACAAGACACAAAACTCAGGCTTTTTAGATGGGTTTTTGTTAGGCTTTGAACTTTTCTCTATGGTTTTCTCTAGCCAAAGTGAATAAACCAAAGGCAAGGCAATACCTTAACCTTCTTATTGCTTCACAATATCAACTAGGTCATTATGTGATTCCCATCTCACAAATGACTTTTCTTCAGAATATGATAAATTCATGAATCACAGAGGGGAAACTGAACTATTTGATCAAGGTTTGAAACCAAGGTATAGGTTGACTAGCCTGATGCCTAAGCTAGCAGACTTTATCTTTTAGGGGGCTACCTAGTAGTCATGTCCATGCATGATTCCCAAATCATGCAGGACAGTGGAAGTGTGCAAAGGGCTAGGAATGCAATGAAGACTAAGGGTGGGTGATGGCTGATACTGACAGGTGCGAGAACAACAAATGCGATGATGATAGAGTGTGATTGCTAAATGCTACTGACTATGGCTCCTAAGGCGCAAACTATACTGAGGAATGCTAAGGGATGCTAACTGGAAACTGAGTGGTAACCAACTAAGTGATAAAAATGTGAAGTACCAACATGCAAAAGCTGACTAAGCGCATTCCCACGATGCAGAGCTGATGCGAGTAAGGTGCAGGAATGAAGAAGGTATATGTAAGTGAGGGTCCATGATGAAATATGGTGTCATGATAAGGATAAATGCAAAAATGTACCAGTAAGACTTGCTGGATAATGGATGGATGCTCCTGGATAATGGGTGATGAAGCGTGGGAAAGCATGTGGGACATGCACAGGAACACACTATGGGAGAGTAGCACACATGTCATGCATACATAGGCTGAGTGAGGGAATGATACTGTGAGTTCATGCTGTGAACTGTATGCAGATACATTGTAATATAGGGCTCTATGGGCATACAGAAGCATGAGTCTCTACATTGCCTTCCATTGTGTCACCCTCCATGGTGGACACTCACCACCCTCAACCCCAGTGTGATGATCATATTCCTGCTAGGGATATAGGTGATGGAAAGGTAGCCCTCGTATCACTCATCACTCCCCTATATGCGGCCTTCATTAGTTTCAGCTACAAACCATTGTCCGCTCCTTAGGCCACACTTTCCCATGATGCCCGCACACACCATGCATTACTATTCATGTTCCTGCACATTAACCCACGCATTTCCTGCACCTTGCACACTGTCAGTTCACCTGATAAAGTGTTTTAGGTGCATCAGTACATGACCACTCTGCATCGACTGCTTTTCCCACACTCAACCCACTCCAGACTTGCACATTCACTCCTGCTGTGATGATCATACCAGCGCTAGGTGCATATGATCACTAGCATGGTTCTTCTCACTCCCAGGAAAGGAGATAAAGCACTGATCATTAAATCCATATATATTGACTCATCCACTTTTAGTACACTCCTTTGACAATAGGCACGCACTCCTCCCATGACCTGTGCTCCCATTTAGCTTTGGTCCGGTCCTAGGAATCCATCCTCCCATGTCCTATCCATGTCCACCTATCTCTGCTGGTGCATTATTTTTCCCAAATATCATTGCTAAACAAGCTGCAGGTCTTATTACATGTTACTCATGTTCCGCAATGCATGATGTCTTATTACCTATAGACTTGTTGTGTGCTCACTTACTATGCTACAATTCTCGCCTACACATTCTGGACCTTCATGCGCTATGATAAAATGACTGCAGTACATACGATTGAGTTAGTTCCCTTTCCCCTGGACTCAGCTCTATAGGAGAGTCACTCCCACATTATTTTTGTAGACCTTGTGCAATTCATTCTGTTTGCTCATACTTGAAAATCTTGTGCAATTTGACTGCTCTGAAGTTCCGTACTGCTAGGACCTTATACTTAGGCTTTTGCAAGAACACCAAACCCATGACCGGTAACTTAGTGCAGTCCTTCTCTCACACTATTTCTCTTGTGTCCAGCCACTCTATCAAGTGCAGTCGATTTTGTGCATGTTATATCTACTGCACTGGTATCCAGCATTCACTGCACTCGCACATATCCTCTAGTATTCATCTTGCACTTGTGATACTAACACTGGTTGATTTTTTCCCCTGCTCATGGTCAATTTTTGACATAGGAACTAGAATGTATACATACAGCCCATGCTCTAGTTTCTTAGGCCACTATAGATTTTAACTCCTTTGCTCACTTGCTTCCCCTGCATATATTTGAAGGAAGTGCTTCAATAGCAGTCCTCTCAGGCTGATCTACCAACTTGCGCCTCTTAGGATAAGTAGTGCTAGTTGCTAACAGCCTAGTACCAATTTCTTCTTCATACCATGCTGTGCACATACCTGCAGTCGAATTCCCATGCCTTCAGATTACCTTACAGATGTCCCACATCAGTCCATTGTCCATCCTACCTCATTGGTACATATTTTGCCTTGCCTTGTGTGTTGTAATAAGTGTTGCAGCCTTATTACATGTCTTTACATATTCCTACTGCCTGTCTGTCCTGTCCCTTCCATTTCCAAGAGGGTTTAGCTAGTATAAAGTGCCTAGAGTGACTACTTCATATTTACTTCCCTTCTATGGTATTTCCTTCCCTTAGGTTTTACTTAGGAGCAGTCTGTTAAGGTCATGTGCTCAAGGGGGTCGGATCACAAGGGCTTGGCCTCAGCTTGTACGCTGTGCCCCTTTCCCGAGTATGTGCCCTTAATTTCCAGGGGCTAGAACAGTCGTCCAGAGTTTCCGGGTTTTGACTAGGGTGGATAACAGATGTCCGGATCTGAAATGTGAGATAAATCTGATGGATGTCTGGATGTTACCTGGGCAAGTGGATAAGACTAATCTGGACTAGAAACTAACAGAGGATGGACTACCCTTAAGGTAGAGTCGGAAATGTAGTCTAGGATGCAATCCTAAGACTCGGAATATGACAAGAGACTTATCTCAAGTCTGGAGGACACAGGAATGAGCAGGAACTAAGATGATATTCAGACTGAGGACTCTACAGGAGTTGTACAGGGGTTATATACTAGAGGATATCCAAGAGGATCAGTAAGCAAAGGAGTAAGGCTATGTACGAGCATGCGGAAACACATTGGTAAGTAAGACAGAACATAAGTAAATGAACTCGGAGATGAAACTAGTACAAGGATCAATCAGCAAGATGGAAACAGAGATAACTGAGAACTGGAAAGGCAGAGATGCCTAATTGGGGATAGGTGCAGGATCTCGGATGGAGGGTGGGAATGGTCTGGAGATAGTACAGTTAATATCTGGAGGTCTGGAGATCTGGGGATCCAGAAGGCAGGGCAGAAACAGGACTGAGATATGTGAGGTGGTGGATGTAGTCTGGAATCCGAGAGGAGGTAAAGTCTGGATGTCTTGCTGGACAGAATGTGTGTAGGGTGGACAGGATAGGGGATAGGGGATCCAGGAATGAGTCAGATATGGGGTCGGAAATAGGTCCGGAAAGCGTGGGAATATGATGGGATCTATGTCTGGCATATGGGATATGACACAGTCACCATTAGTGCGCACTTTTTAGCCCCTATTGGTTACCTTATACCTGGACACCTTGTCTTGACTTTCCTTACCCATGCAATCAATACCCTTGCCCTCACTTGTTACCTGCACCATTCCTTAAGACTTCCCTACCCCTTACCCTAGCATCTCACACTTCTGCATCAACCACCCATTGACCATTCATTGACTGCTCATTGACTGCACTTCCGCATTCCTGTGCTCTACATACCCATGCACTTGTTCCTGCACTCCATGCACTTTCAGGTCTTTAGTATCATTGGCCATTCTCAGTAGCAATTCCCTTTAGGGTCGAACATTCTTGCTTGCAAGTGTAGCAGCTAGGCAGAGCATCAACCTTACAACAATATTTTTGGTTAGGCACTTTATCAAGTGTCTAGCAATTGTTGTGTTTGCACACCAGCCTTTGCTATGCTGCACCACCCAAGTTGTCGAAAGGAGTGCAGAAGCTAACATGTATAATGCTGAAAGTGGTCACTGTCACAGCGGACAAGTCTCCATGCCCTCTACACACAATATTGTTGCAAATTCCATTAGAGATAATGTCAAGGATGGTTTGCCACTGTAGTGGGGAGCGTTGGGTGAGAGCCGGGGAGACGAGGGCAGCAGGATGATGTGGTTAGGGAGATGCAGAGGTTAGGGGAGCAAGGACCTGACCAGCAGATTCTGGGGTCCTGGGCTCGGAGTCCATGAGCATATAGTATACATGCATGTATGTACAACAGAGAGACACACACGACTAGATACCATCTTCATCCTCTTCCGAGTACAAGGCTGGCTTGGACATATGGTGATGAGAGTGGGGAAGTGACCCACAAAATCAAGCAAGAATCTGGATCAGGTCAAATTTCACTTGAAGATTGTGCACAGTTGCAGCACCTCCAGCAAAGAGAAACAGTATCATCGATTCCTCCCTCTTCATCCCCTTCAAACCCATTGGAAACGGGACCAGTGACACCAAGAAGAAGGAATATTTCTCTTCCACTACCCTGCTATGCTGAGCACAAGTCAATGGGAGAATCCGGAGGCGCATTTTGCCTTCACCCAGCACATTTCACACCTGAAGACAACAACCCCCCCTCAGATTCTACTGAGACATCAGTATTGTCAGTCACACCTACCAAACTGACAGGTCAGATGGTAGTGAGAGCAGCATCAGCACCTTGCAAACCACCTCCCTTAATGATGTCAAAATCAAGCAAACCTCGGACAGCTACAGATAAACTACGGTCAACCAACATGCCAGACACTGTGAAATCAGTGCCACTATTCTATGGCGACTATGGAGGGAATGAAAACCCATCAGCATGGTTTGCTCAATTCGAGCTATTACTCCCCATAGCCTGGACAGATACACAGTGTGTCCAACGGTTCAGTATGCAGCTGACACCAGGAGAAGTCACAGAAGAATGGTACCATAACTTAACATCCTTACATCTCAGCTCATTCACCAATCTCAAACATGAGTTCTTCAAATGCTGGCCACCTCCTAAGCGCCCTAAGCTCACACAAGCACAACAGAAGGAATGCATTATGGCACAAGTGTTAAAGGAGGAAGAAATTGGAGTATGGACGCAAGAAGGAAGAACGGGTAACTATGCGCATGTAACCTGGGTGCTCAACATTTCATGTTTAGCGATGGGAATGGGTGATGTGGATGGTACAATGATTGAGTACGCACTGGAGGGTATCCTGGACTTGTTGAAAGACCACCTCAAGTGTGTCTACAACTCATGAGACAAATTCATGGACAATATCCAAGACATGCCAAATGTTAAGCTCAAACGAGGGTGCAAGAATCTGGACAAGGAACAGGCACAAGATGTAGAAATCTCTAAACTCAAGATGCAAAGTGCAGCATTCTCTTCACTGGCCCCACAACAATTCATGCACCATGCATCTACCATGAACTTCCCTGCACCAACACAATCACCAAACACCCTTAATCTGTTGTTATTCACAGCAAACACAGGCATGCCAACATGGCATATGGTAACAACAGGGGAGCATTTGCCCCATGAGCACAGATGTCTTGCACCCAGATCTTAGAAAGGGTGGCCCTTGTACTGCAGAGGCCCAATACAGAGTCTGGAATGAGGCAGTATGAGGCAGACGTCAGCCCATGGCACAGGTCTTACAGTATGGAGGGCACTCCATCATTAGAACAACCATATCCCTTGTGTCCAGGAACAGCTATATTGGGTTTGGGAGAGTGTTATAGTTGTGGGATAGTCACAGAACCAACACACCTTAGCTTGCAGTGCACAGCCTCAAGCCAGCTGTGTCCACACAAGACTTGATGGTGTCAGTATGTGGCAGGGTTGTTATGACAGGCAACACAACAACAGACATCACGAACTTCATTCCCCACACCAGTCCAATATGTTGCCACAATGCACCATCCATACCTTCAGCCTCAAAATAACACAGTGCCTGCACCAGTCTATCATATTGTACTGCAGGAGGAAACCAGTTGGGGAGACCCATACAAAGGGACAGGTACTCTGGACCAAGGATACGAGTGGAGCTCAGAAAACTATGGGGGACCACTGCAAATGGTGGACCAGCAGTAGTCCCACAAGATTCGAGTCCATCCTCCAACCATTCACTCATGTCAACAAAGCAAGAACATTTCACTTTTTCATCCTCTGCAGCACCGCAAGCACTCAATAATGTACATACTGAGAATGGATCATCTATGCCTCCCAAGTCACTTTTTCATCCCTCACAAGCTAACTCATTGCCAGTTAGTACTCCCTTGACTACAGATCTTTCTTCTTCAGTTACGGACATAGTAACATCATCTGAGAATCTATCATCAAGTGCACACCCGGTTGTACCCTCCACTATATCTAGCAATACTATCACTGATGTTTATCTGTTGGATGACGCAGGGCAAGCAATCAGAACTCAAACAAGCAATCCATTCATGGCAGTACCACACCTGCATGGACCACAGGAGAAAAAATACGAATCCTGGCTATAGTCGACAATGGCACCATGATCAACACAATTGACACAGCAGCCTTTCAGCGAATTGCAAGAAGACTCTCTCCACTAAGTCCATCCTCCAGAACGCTTTGTATGGCTAATGGCTCATTAGTACTGTCAACTGGCATATGGACGGGGACAATCTCCTGGGGACCAATCAATATTCAAACATCCTTCAAAGTATTTCCTAGTGGAGGCTCGTGGTGCATGCTAATTGGAAAACCACTATTGGAACAAGTGCATGCAATACACGACTACAGTAGTGATGCGATACTACTCCTGCATGGTAATGACTTCCATTGAATTTTGAACTTCACTATGTTTCAACCATTACCAACTCCCTGTTTACCTACAGCCATCCGTTTCCCATCTAGTACCACCTTTAATCGATCCATACCATCTTCGATGCTTATATCTCAACAAAACAGTAATAATAATATCTTGCATGTATCTACTATAACACCACCCATAGATTTACATAAACTTGAACCAATCACTAACATCTTAATAGAGCAAACAGATTCAGTGGGAGAACAAGATCTTCAACCAGTCTTTGAAGTGGAAGACATGGAGCAAGCATCCACAACAGGTGATGTACTAGATCCATCAACCTCGATACTACCCAATGATGTCTTCACTAGATTGACTGAATGTGGACCATTCTGGCCAGCAAGAGTAGAAGCAGTTGTGAATGCAGTCCATTATGGAGACTACCTCATGGAGGACCAACAAACTCAAGTTCAAGCACTCATTGTGGAATTTGCAGATGTGTTCGCACTATCAGTACAAGAGGTGAAACTGGTAGACTTCATCAAATTTTGACTGCAGATCCCACCAGATGTGATGTTCACAAAGAAGGTACATCAATGACCATTAATGAGGCTGCAGCAAGAATACCTATTCCCAGTATTGGACAACATGTGGGAAGCAGGGGTTACAAGATTCATCAAATCAGACAAGGTTAAGGCCATCGCATCAACAGTCCTGGTCCAGAAGACACATGCAGGAATGAGCCTCTCAATGGATGACATATGACAAATTGTCAATGAACAATGCATTGCACTCAGTGAGCCTCTGGACTTAGATATCGACATGGACTTAGTATTGGCAGCAGAACCAAGGTCGAAGTCAACCAATGCACTGAAAGTTAAATGGCGCATCTGCCAGAACTTCAATGACATCAACAAAGTGTCTCAGGTTGCACCAACACCACAAGGAGACATCGCAGCGAAGCAGCAACATCTAGCAGGACATGAATATATTTGCATATTGGACTTCGCAGCCAGATTCTATGCAATACCAGTAGAGGAAGACAGTCAGCCATATCTATGTTTCTATACAGAAGGATGAGGATATGAAGCATATTGTTGAATGCCAATGGGTGTACAAGGAGCCCCATCATGCTTTAGTGACCTCACAGCAATGGCCTTGTCAGATATCCTAGTCAAACTGCTCATGGAGTTATACATCGACAATGGTGCAATGGCAGGAAATGTATTCAGTGAATTGTTGAATCACTTACACATGTTTTTTACCAGGTGCAGAGAATGAGATCTGTCAATATCGCCCACTAAAATGCAACTGTTTATGAATGAGGTTATTTTTGGAGGAGCACAAGTGGGGTGAGAAGGCATATGGCCAGACCTAACAAAGATTGCCACAGTCACTGAGTGGCTGGTCCCATCAAACCTGCTAGAACTGATGTGCTTCTTAGGTTTGACAGGATACTTTAGATCATTGATTAAAGACTATGCTCACATTGCAGGACCACTCACGGATATGTTATGCAACCTAGATGCACCGCCAATTAGTGCAAAAGGAGGAAAATGTAAGTATAGGCAGTTTTTGAGAGAACACAAACTCGAAACCTTCTGGGAGCAATGACACACTCGCACATTCCTGAAACTCAAGCAGATCCTCTTAATGGAACCAGTACTCAAAGCACCCACATTTGACAGATCACCATTCATCGTCATTAGTGATGGATGCAAAGACAGCTTTGGAGCAGTATTAGCACAACAATTCCCATTCCAAGAGACATCAGGTGAAACAACTACCAGGATACATCCAATTGCATTTGTGTCGAAATGGACTTCACCAACAGAAGAACGGTACATGCCATACTTGTTGGAGTTTGCAGCATTGAAGTATGCATTCAACCAGTTCGGATCAATCATTTGGGGCTTTCCAGTCAAGATTGAAACAGATTTTATTGCACTGAGAGATACACTATTGAACAATAAACTGTCAATAGTGCATGCCAGATGGTGAGATGGCATCATAGCTTACCAGATTGCAGATGTACGACATCGTTCAGGTGCAAGCAACATGGCAGCAGATGCTCTTAGTCAGAGAGCATCAGGACAACCTCAGAAGGACAGAGACAGCAGCACATGGTCAGTGAGCGAAGACTGGGAAGCAGAACGTGGACTGGTGAATGATTTATTCCTCATACAACAGACTGACTCTACCTCCGAAACATTAGTGACAGAATTATGTGGCCGATTCAAAGAGGAACCACTTTTCCTAGAGGTCATAGAGGCATTGTTCAACCTCAATAGCAACAAACCAGAGCAAGAACATAGATGAGCACAGCACAGAGTACTGGGGTACATAGTTGAAGACAGACGACTATGGCGCATCGCAGATGGCAAAACGACTCAAGCACGGACACGTGTAGAGTGCATCACAAAGAAGGAAGCAGTAGTGTTAGCAAGAGAAGCACATGCAAATAATGGGCATTGGGGGAGAGACCTCACCAAGTTACAACTCATGGATCAGATTGTGAGCCCATCTCTAGACCGATCCATTGTGACAGCACTCCTCGAATGCCCACAGTGCAAGAATTTTGGATCAACTCAGCTACACACACTGATGTATCCCATTATGAGATGACATCCGTTCGAGTTACTAGTTGCAGACTACCTCTCATTACTGAAAAGCAAAGGAGGGTACCATAACACCTTGCTAGTTCTTGACACGTATTCCCAATATGTCTGGGGGTTCAAACTAAAGACATATGGCACTGCAAAGACCACGATTGCAGGGCTGAATGCAATTGTACACAGCTTCTGAGCGCCGGAAACATTTATGATGGATGGAGGGTCGCATTTTGACAACAGAGATGTACGTGCATGGTGCTTGGCACATAATGCGAAGCACCATGTCGTGGCAGCCTATTCATCATGGATCAATGGATTAGTGGAGAATGCCAATGGGAAGTTGTTAGGACAGCTGAAGTGCTTGTGTAGCCCAAGGGTAGGAGAGGATGAAGAAGAGAATGCAAAGGCAGAAGATCTGATGTGGAAGTGGCCAGATCACTTTGACAAAGTGATCCAGCAACTCAATGAACGCATCATCCCAGCATTCCAATTCTCACCGAAAGAACTCCTTCTAGGATTGGTGGTCAACACTACCCCCACAGCTATCACAGACACAAGCAACAAACTAACCATGTTGGAAGTGGATGTTCATATGGCGTACATGGACCAGCAGTGCCTGGATAGAGCAAATCACGCAGCAGCACACACGACGAAACAGAAGAGTATTTTTGATAAGCAAGTCATGTGGTCACATGCAGGAGAAGTCATATTCAAACCAGGACAGCTAGTCCAGATCTATGCAAATGCTACAGACATGACAATGGCAAGCTCAAGGAAACTTGTACTGAAGTGGTCAGCACCCAGGTGAGTGGTTTCTCGCATTAGCAACTCTTATACTCTCACTTCTCTAGAAGGGTTCCCCAT